AAAAGGCGCATTGCGAATTCTCGTTGGAACACTGATGAATGCATACACGTGGTGCAGGGTTGGTAGCGAGGAGTTTAAAGGTTAGAGGAGAGGAGATCTAATAGTTATCAATCACATTGTTATGATCACCTTCTGTCCAAAGGCTCATGATTAAAATTATTGAAGATTTTAGCTTACCTGATAAGGAGTGTTGCTAATGCAGACATCGAAATATGGAAGGTCGGTTTTGATCACATCGCCTAGTAGAACTTCAAGCCGCTTTTGTTCTGGCTTCCCTTGCACTCGCTTTGTAACTTCCGCAGCCATCCGTGGGTCCAACTCGACAGCAATGACTTTTTTCGCTTTCTCTAGTATTTTGACAGTCAAATTACCTGTACCGGGGCCGATCTCAAGGACTGTCTACAAAATCAAATTAGCAACGACACTTAAAATATATATATATTATATATGGGTGTGCGGCGTTGGATAGCATATACATCACTTTGCTTTAGATCTGCCTTGTCCACAATAGCCTGAGCAACCCCAGGGTTTTTTAAAACGTGCTGGCCAATGTCTGTATTCATACGGAACACATTGTTTGCGGCCTTGATTTTTGCAGCAGCCTGAGCATAAGGGCTTGCCTGGGAAGCGCTATTGCGCTTCTTTGATGGTGCCTTGGGCATCTTTGCTCTGCTCAGCTGCCGGCCAGATAGTCGGAATAGTGGTAATAATAAACTCCCGCTGCCTTTCTGTCGCATCTTCTGAGTGGGATGAGAATAATTTTCGCGATTTTGATGCATATCCGGATTTATATTGTTGCGGGCTCCGAGATAGCTTGGTGAAGGCTAGAAAATACGATTCCCTCGGATGCAACAAAGCTCCGCCGGATCTCAGCTATCTCGCTTTCTTTCTCCTTGAACTACAAGTTTGTGTAACCTTTTGATACATTATGACAGGCCGTAAAGACTTTCTCAGCCAGCCTGCCCCAGAAAATTATGTTGCTGGTTTAGGACGGGGTGCCACCGGATTCACTACTCGGTCAGACTTGGGCCCAGCTAGGGAGGGTCCCACTCCAGAGCAGATACAGGAAGCCCTGACGAAACGCGCACTTTTACTCGGCGCAGCTCCTCCAACCGCATATGGCTCGTCAAATAGAGGTGAAAAGGGTAAGGGGGACAAAGCTGATAAAGCAATTGAAGAGGAGGAGGATGACCGGTTTCAAGACCCCGAAAATGAGGTTGGCCTCTTCGCATACGGACAGTACGACAGGGATGATGACGAGGCGGATCGCATATATCAGGAGGTGGATGAAAAGATGGACAGGAGGCGGAAGTTAAGAAGGTTTGTCTCCCCTTTTATCTTTTCACAAACTTATCTTTCCAATCCTATCATTTTGAAAGCTGTGGGTTTATCGTGTTTCCATGAAGCATTTTGGATAGATTGCCGACATGAAAAAATCCTTTCTCTACCCTAGGGAAGCTCGAGAAAAACAAGAGCGCGAAGAATACGAACGAAACAACCCCAAAATCCAGCAGCAATTTGCAGACCTCAAACGCTCCCTAGCTACAGTAACCGATGAAGATTGGGCAAATATCCCGGAGGTCGGTGATCTGACGGGGAAAAACCGACGGGCCAAGCAAAACTTGAGAAACCGATTTTATGCCGTACCAGATAGTGTTATTGCTAGCGCAAGAGATTCTACAGAATTCAGCACTACTGTCGCTGAAGACGGCACAGAAACTGTAGTACCGCGTGGGGAGACGGATGGCACAATCACAAACTTTGCAGATATTGGTGCTGCGAGAGATAAAGTCCTTCAGGTTAGACTTGATCAGGCTGCTCAGGGGTCGACAGGCGATGCGACAGCTGGAAGCACAACCAACATCGATCCAAAGGGTTATTTGACAAGTCTAACCAAGTCCGAGCTGAAGGCAGGGGAAGTGGAGATTGGAGATATTAAGCGAGTTCGAGTGTTGTTGGAATCAGTCACTAAAACAAACCCTAAATATGCACCAGGATGGATAGCTATCGCTCGTTTAGAAGAAATCGCGGGACGGATCGTTGCTGCAAGGAGCTATATTGCTAAAGGGTGTGAACTATGCCCGAAAAGTGAAGATGCGTGGTTGGAAAATATAAGGCTTAATGATAATCACAATGCGAAGATCATTGCGGCCAATGCGATTAAAAATAACGACACCTCAACTAGGCTCTGGATTGAGGCCATGAGACTAGAATCAGACCCGCGGGCCAAAAAGAATGTTCTTAGACAAGCAATTCTCCATATTCCACAGTCTGTTGCTATTTGGAAGGAAGCCGTTAACCTTGAAGAAGACCCAGCAGATGCACGCCTTCTTCTTGCCAAAGCAACGGAAATGATACCACTTTCAGTGGAGCTATGGCTGGCCTTGGCTCGTCTTGAAACTCCAGAAAATGCGCAAAAGGTCCTAAATGCTGCGCGAAAGGCAGTCCCAACTAGCCACGAGGTTTGGGTTGCGGCTGCTCGACTACAAGAACAAATGGGGACTGCTGGCAAGGTCAACGTGATGAAACGGGCTGTCCAAGAATTAGCAAGGGAATCTGCCATGCTAAAACGAGAAGAGTGGATCGGAGAAGCGGAAAAGTGTGAGGAAGAAGGAGCAGTCCTTACTTGCGCTGCAATTATTCGGGAAACCTTGGGCTGGGGCTTGGACGAAGATGATGATCGGAAAGATATCTGGATGGAAGACGCGAGAGGGAGCATTGCTAGGGCCAAATACGAAACCGCGAGAGCGATATATGCTTACGCTCTGCGAGTATTTGTCAATAAGAAAACTATCTGGCTTGCTGCAGCCGACTTGGAACGTAACCATGGCACTAAAGAAAGCCTCTGGCAGTTGTTGGAAAAGGCTGTGGAAGCCTGCCCACAGAGCGAGAATTTGTGGATGCAGCTTGCCAAGGAAAAATGGCAAGCTGGTGAAATCGACAATGCCAGAAGAGTACTCGGAAGAGCGTTTAATCAAAATCCAAATAATGAAGACATCTGGCTCGCGGCCGTCAAGCTAGAAGCAGATGCGAATCAGACTGAACATGCAAGGGAACTCCTCTCGACCGCGCGTCGCGAAGCTGGAACCGACCGTGTCTGGATCAAGAGCGTGGCTTTTGAGCGCCAGTTAGGAAACACGGAACAGGCTCTCGACCTCGCCAACCAAGGGCTTCAGCTTTACCCTAAAGCAGATAAGTTGTGGATGATGAAAGGCCAAATATATGAAGAACAAAATAAATACCCCCAGGCCAGAGAAGCATATGGAACCGGTACGAGGGCGTGCCCTAGATCCGTACCCTTGTGGCTCCTCGCATCTCGCCTCGAAGAAAAAGCAGGAGTTGTCGTCAAGGCACGATCTATTCTCGACCGAGCGCGTCTCGCAGTGCCCAAGAACGCGGAACTCTGGACTGAAACAGTGCGTGTTGAGCGGCGTGCAAATAACATAGGACAGGCCAAAGTGCTCATGGCAAAAGCTTTACGAGAAGTCCCTAATTCAGGTCTTCTATGGAGCGAGAGTATCTGGCACCTGGAGCCGCGGACTCACCGGAAGCCGCGAAGCCTGGAAGCTATCAAGAAAGTGGATAATGATCCTATCCTCTTCGTGACAGTAGCGCGCATCTTTTGGGGTGAGCGAAGACTTGATAAGGCAATGACATGGTTTGAGAAAGCCATTGTCTCGAATAGCAATTTGGGCGATGTGTGGGCGTGGTATTATAAGTTCTTGTTGCAACATGGTACAGATGTAAGCAGAAAAGCCCTTCCCTACCATTCACAACTTCTGAATCGCTCAAACTGGTGGGCCATGAAACATGTCTAATGCATCCTCGTCTATCCAACAGGAAAAAAGAGAAGACGTCATCAGCAAATGCATATCCAGCGAGCCGAGGTACGGTGAGGTTTGGCAATCTGTTGCGAAAGATCCAGCCAACGCGCAAAAGTCGACGGAGGAAATCCTAAAACTCACGGCGGCACGTTTAGAATAGAATAAAGATAATTTTGAATGCTAAATATACACTCCCGATTTCGTTTCCCGTCTTGAAGCTGTATTCACATATATTTTTTAGGGTTTATCCCTCAAATTTCCGGGTTGATAGGAGGTTATGGTTTTTTCTTTTTTTTTTTTTTTGGCTGGGAAGTTTTTCAAACATGGGAAATCTGGTGAATACCTTATGATTATTTTTTTCCCTTGTAAAACACAGTTGTTTCGTAACAGTTAATGAAAATTGCTAGAATGATATACCTATGATAATGATATTAAGATACCTGCTCTGATTTTCATTAATTCAAATACACCAACGCGTTCAAAATTACAATATATATGAACTTGGACAATGGAGTATATAACAATAATATCCCGAATCCCGAATCGCGCTCAATGACTGCGCGCAATGGCTGGTACGAAAAGACAAGCAATCTCTGCGGATATTCAAAGAACAACAGAACGAGAGGGCTCAGCCTTCGCTTTCCAGCTCAAACCATATTAGCAATGAAACCACTCCTCCTGGGTATTATATAGAAAATTACCTAGAACAGTGGAGCATGATGCCCAATGAGATGATCCTGTGAGCAATATAGTTCACACAGGGCTCACCCGTCGGAAGTATAAGTATATAGATACAAGAAGGAAAACCAGAATGAAAAATAGAAGCAGAGTGGAGGCCGTGGATCAACAATGCACCAGACCCTCCAAAGCGTGAAAACCACGTAAAAGTATCCCAATGTAACGAGTAATGAGCCCAACCCATCACGGTCGGCAGTCATGTATACAAAAAGCAAGCAGAGAAAAGATATGAAAAGCAAAAACAAAAGCGCAGGGCGCAGAAAAAGCAAACGGCCAAAGGGAATAAATAAGCAAACACATTCAAAGGTGGCGGAGAACAAAATACGAAACCAGTCCCTAACGCCTACCCACCGACTCACCCATTCCAATGGTAAATGCATAACCTACCTCCCCCGATCAGAAGAAATTAATGGAACATGAAGCGAAAGTAGACCCGATGAGAGCAGCAAATACATGTCTCACGCAGCCATCGAAAGGCAATCATCGAGAAGGCTTCCTAGCTGAGCTCGATCCTTGGAAGTTGCGCCGTCCCACTCCCAACCAGATTCGTCGATATCCATATCATCAGAGTACCCATCGATGCCATTTAGATTGTTAGTATCGTTTATACTTTCCAGGTAGTCTTGTCGTTCAGCTTCAAGCTCTTCCTCAACATATCCGCCCAATATCTCATCGACAACCAGGGGCATATGTCCCAGCAGGCCGCCGCCAAGTTCCAGAGCCAATCTCAAGTCCGGGACACCCAGTGCCTGTCTTGTGCTCGCTTCCTTAGCTTCAACAGGTAAGAAGCCGCTGGTGGTATTCTTCACTAGCTCTCCACGGGTGAATGCCATTTCTTCCCGTTCAAGTTGCCGCCGGTATTTCCGCGTCATGGTTCCATTGGTGGTCCCTGATGGCCCATTTAGTCTTGTTCTTGCGAATACGATGGACAGGAACTCCTTAACGAAATTTTCAGTTGCGATGGACATAAACACCGCGCATGGAAATGAAGCCGCATTAACCACCGATTCCTCGTAGCATATCGGGACCATGCGCGCATATATCGAATCTGCATCTGGAAATTCTCCGATTTCAGAAGCGAGGGGTTGCGCGTAGCGTTTCCGAATTTCGAGTTCCCAATCTAAAAGCATAAAGTTAACTTCTATTCACATCTCGCCACCGTCCATGTACTGTTATCCACCTACTTGTCTTGTTCAGGCCTCCAGCACTGGCAGGCACTTGATCTGGGAGACGGATCTGTTTGGCCTGATGATACTCTTCTAGTGGATTGGGTAGAGAATGCGGGTCCGGCTATTAAGAGGGAAACATATATACCGGTTAGATCACCACCGTCTCTCCATACCCACCTGTATAGACATAGACAAACATACCTCAGGAAGCGCTTTTAACCGCCGTCTATCCTTTGGCGGTAATTTTTTAATCTCTGTTTTAAGTCTCTGTTCCGCAGCATCGCCTGATACAGGTTTCGATACTACTGTCGGTTTATCGTTCGCCGAAACCCAGCTTGCAACGCCATGGTCTGGAAGGTCTCTCGTAAGGTTTCCGATGATTGCGCATACGAAATTGTTATGCAGGTGTTCGATTTTGGGGTCGGAAGAGAGGAAATGATCGACTCGCGATGAGAATTCATTCTGGTTTAAATGGCCTTTTGCACCCCGCACACAAGGGAAAAAATAGACGGAAGTGCAGCATTAGAATAATATGTCCTCTTCTAGTTGGTTAACGAAAAGGAAGCGTAGTTATAATAAACGCACCTAGAAGAAGGAGAGCGATGGCCTCCTTGTACTCCGTCCATTGGATGCCGATGGCCGCCTTTAACTCCGTGTATATCGGCTCAAGGTCAAGTCGCGGAACAGAAATGAGAGCTTTGGATGCTTTCTGGGTGGTTACCGGAGGGGGGACAACAGGCTGCTTGGTCGCGGGGATGGTAGACGATGAATTTGTCCCAGTCAGAGCTGCGGGATCGATCTGCATCGTGTTTCAGGGCCAAAAAGGACCACCAGCGCGAGGGGCTGCGCGAAGCCAGAGGAGGACGTGGATTAGGCCCTCATGCAAAAGGAATGGACGGATATATACCAGAGATGATGGGAAAGGGGAAGAGAGGTCATTGAGAGACGGGATATCGGGGAGGATGCTGGATATCTGATGGAAGAGTTGTTGGTTGTGCCTTGTATGGCATGGAGTGAAGTTCGGATGGGGGCGGTGGTGATTAGAGAGTGCGTGGGTTTAAGTTTGGACCAGGATAGACTTTCGACTGTTGTGTACATGTACATACGATATTTGGAGATTTTGAATATCTCTCTTCGCTTGAATATAAACATAAACATATTATTACAAGAGATGGAATTATTTTTCATGGATTAAATAAAACGCGCCCTGTCCCCATCCTAATGGAGCTTCAGTACATCCTCATCTAGTATACCAAATAGTGTGCTTAATTCACCAATAATCGCCATTATTTCATCTCCCAACTGTCCGGTAACTAGAACTGCACAAAATTCGTACAGTCATCAGTATGTTGCCGATATATCGTAAGAATTTCCTGCAGGGAAAGATGAGCTGGCAAACATACCATATGCATAGAGTAAGGCATAGTCTTCATCTGTTGTCAACCGAGACACCGTGGTATCTTGGCGGAAACGGTGCAATCGCGCGAGGAGCCTGTCTCGCGAATGCTCTATTTCCGGCAGAGAATCATTCAGAGGGTACTCGAGTTTCATGGAGGATGCGACCACTGCGCAGGGCATTAGTTCCAGGTTGCAAGCGAAACGAACGAAAAGTGAGAAAGGATAACATACCAGACAACAAATGGCTTATTCGTGCAGAGAGTTGCATTCTCTGCGGTAGGGTATATGCTAGCAACGCCATCTCACCTTCTGAAGCAGTTAGATTCTTCATGATCTCGAGATTCATAGCCTGGATAGCATCTAACATCCGTCGTGTTCGGCTAAGCAGCGTAACATACGTAGCATCGGGAAACGGGCCGCGCAATTCAAACTCTGACCGTGCCGAAGTATGAAGCGTCTCCAAATGGACCAGGAATCTCTGGAGCTCTAATTTTTCCCTAGGGGTGAAATATGCAATGGCAGGCTTTCCATCCGTCATCGTCGACAGGGGTTCTCGTTTCCATATCACGCTCATCCGGAGCCACAGCAAACTTAGACCATCTTTCAGCTTTCTCCGCGCACTGATAGGCCAGATCACACGAGTGATTAGGATTCCCCAAATAATGCCAGTCAAGACAGCAACGACACGGTGGACAGCAATGTCAAGTACTATCGGTGTGTCCCCGCCTTCATCTTTGCCATCATCAATATCATTTTGTGAGAGAGAATAAGCATATAGAACAGTGAGGTTGTAAGTGAGCATGATAAAACGTCCCATGGGACCCTGGCTTTTAACCAAAATAAGGAAGGAGGTGCAGAATGCCATCACCCAGCCGATGAATGCAAGGGCAAAAACGTTTCCGGAAGTGATTTTCCACGCAACAAAAGCGCATATCGCTCCAAAATTTGTTCCCAAGAGCCTAGCATATCCAGTTGTATTGGACGCACCAATTGTCATAGAGCAAACAAGCATATAGGATAGCAGGCCCCACTCCCCACGCCAATAAGAATAGAAAGGTCTCGTCGATGGTATGAAGGAAGGGAGAGCGTACAGAGCGGCTCCGGCACCGACTTTGATTGAGAATTTTGTTTCGTCTCGTCGGAAGATACGGAGTGCTTTCCAAATTTTGTACCTAAACTTGTCTCTCGCTGATGGATGATCTGGCGGTTGCAACGAGGTATTTTTACTTTGCATAGAGGAATTTTCGGGCGAAACACTCGTTTCCCCGCGCTCAGCCTCTGACCCTATTTGCACCGTTACCATTTTATGCAAAAACGTACGGACTTGGAGAATCACTTACTTGAAACTGCAGTCCATTTATTGATATGGTCAGGAGGGGTGGGCCGCCAAAATCTGAGCCAACCCCAGGATCTGCCATTCGGCCGCTCATCTGTTTCCAATTTAAGTTCATCAAGAACTTCTAGGATTTCTTTGAGTTGTTCAGCAAACGCTTGGAGAGAAAAACTGAAATGGCCACAACTTGCTGCAACTTCTTCGAAGTCAGCTTCCGTCTCAATTGACTTGGTCCTGACAAAATCCTTCTGCGGGTATACCATATTCAATGCATCATTTCGTGCACTTTGATATAAATTAAGAGCTCGGTCCAGGCTGGTACGAAATTTGCAATTAATGGCGACTTCATATTCTGGGCCTGTGCTGTACGGAATGTCTCCAAGGATTTCTGTCACCGTGTATGCGAGTGCACGCTACCCCAAACAAACAAACAAAGAAAGAAAGAGAAGTTAGTATGTCGCTGAGAAATTGGAGAGTCATATTCCAAGAAATTGACCAAGCAGTAAATACCATTGAAGGGCCAAGGCAGGCAATGAACTTCTCGAATATATCTGCGGGAGACTGTGGAACGAAGTCATTTCCTTGGCTGGAAATTAAGAGGGTCTTATCTAAGCCTGTTGTTGGCCTGTCGCAATATGCCATATCCAGAACCGGGTTTGGCTCAGTCGGTTCCTCTAGAGAGTGTGCAGTTGGCGAGAAAATTGAGGGGTATAATCCGGCGCCAATATAGGAAGAGGAAATTCCTTCTTGGGCGGGAGAAACGTGCGAAGGTTGGTACGATTGTTTTAAAAGGTTAAATTGAAGAGAAGCAGCGCTCTGAAGTCCTCCGATATTTTGGGTGATGTCCTGAATACACCGAACAAGCTTTTTTTCGAGGCGATATTCTCTTTCCGTCCCGGCAAAGTAGCGTTCGAATTTAGCCTCTTGAAGCCACTTATCAACCGCAACATAGGCCTTTTTGTTCCGGTTTGAAGCATTTTTGAAGGAGTTCTGGCCAAGGTATTCTGCAGAGCCTTGCAGGAAGCTTTCAGTAATGATTGCTAGCATAGTTCCCAGTGAGCTAGTAATCTCAACCAAATCTTTGCGAAGTTGCGTTCTTGCAGACACGGGAAAGAGTAGAAAACAGACGGTCATAGTCGCGATTACTCCCATCACAATCATTTTTAAAACCTGGAATATTTTAACAAGAGACAAGTCCCCCTGTTGAACAGCTCCCTCCTTTGTCAGGACTGTAATAATAGCCAGGGATGCAAGAGAGCAGGCCACATTCGCCAACGGGTCAGCACGTCGAAGCTTGACCCATCCAACGAAGCCCAGGCCGCCTCCGCAGAAAACGAGAAGGACGATCGCGTTTCCAAGCGGAAGGAGATCGAGTTTGTCCTCAAAGAACAGCGAAATACCCATGCTAGCCACAGATATGAAGGTTGCATATATAAACGCTAAGAAGGCGTGCATAGTTGCTAATATCATGCTACCCCTCGTCCTCGCCGGATGGAAGTAAACCGTTATCGTAGCCACCATATGCTTTCCATCTTGCCGCCCAAGAAAAGCTGCAAATACTGGCAAAAACGTCCCCAAGGTGCCAATCAAATAAGCAATGCTGCATTTGATCACACCTTTGCCTGCTTCGGAAGTAATAAATAAGTATAGTGCATTTACAAGGCTTGTAAGTTTTTCAGAGAATTTGCACCAGAAGGTCCCGGATCTGGTGCTTGAAGTCGCGGCACTGCGGTCAAGTAACGGTTCTCTTTCCCCCAGGCTACCATTTTCTCTGTCGCGCGATAAATTGATAAGGCCTCTACGTCGTTGCCCAGTACTCGGAAAGATGAAGGAGACTTGTCCGAGCTAGAACGCGAGCTCTGTCAGCAAACTACACCAAAGGTTGAGAGCTATTGCGCCGACAATAGCAAAAAGGGGAGATTCATTATTTACCTTGGGTCTGACGAAGCGACGAGCCGTGGATGAGGCAGGCGTCATCACGTTTGGGAACTTTCCCACATGGCTCGGTGCGCAGATTCAGTGGTTGGCATTGATGCTGTTGCCCAGCGGTGGTGGTTTGTCACTGGCAAGATATTTAACCAGAGCTTCAATGCAGATCAGGACAAGGGCCACGCATTCAACTAATTACTGCCACACGACAGTAGTTACCACTAAGTTAATTGCAAGCCCCCAGAAATTTACACAAAATTTTAGGTAAGAAACCTTATTCAAATAGTTAACTAATAAACATTATTTTGCACGTATAAATGGATAGCTGTAGTATTAGGCGGGTCATCATTCCACACCTGTAAGAATCAAATAACATTTATCCATTCATTCATTCAAGGCCAGGAGCTAAGCTGGCAACCACCTCGAGGTCACAGGAATTTCGAAACGAACTGATTTCATGGTGATTAATGGCGCATCAACTCGTGGTTTATCTACTTAAGATCTTCGAGCTGCCATATCTTAATCGCAGCATCAGACCCCACGGATGCGATCTTAGTGCGGTCAGTGATCCAGGCCACTCCGTTGACCCCTTCCTTGTGAGCGTTGGGTGCCTGCAGCCAGTCCCCAGGACAAGCCAAACTCCAGATAAAAATGCTTGTATCGAGACTCCCACTGGCCAGATGGGTGCCCTCGGAATTCCATGCGAGAGAGTTGATTCGCGCGGTATGCGCAGTCCACCGGTCTGTAACAATGCTGCCATCTGCTGACTTGTAAACTAGTACGCGCCCGCGCGAATCGCCCACGGCTAACAAGGAACCATCTGGCGAGAAGGTAAGTGCTGTGATCGGGTTTCTTGAAGCCTTTATTTCTACTGAGGGAACGAGATCGTTATTGTTAATAGAGCAGATTCGGACGGACGAGTCATCGCAGCCGATTGCAGCAGTGGTACCATGCGCAGCAATGACGTTGAGAGAAGCAGGCTCGCAAGCGAAATTGCCTGTTTTAGCACCGTCTTTGAAAATCTCAACACCATCCGAGTTTGCGACGAGAACTATGTTATTTGCGGCGGCGGCGGCGTTCTTCGGCTGGCCGGAGAGCTTAGTTGCACTTCCAGTATACGTGTTTGTAGTTACGTCGACAGAACGAATCGTGTCATCCCAACCGACGCTGTAAATGCGACCATTTCCTTCACTTGTAGCTGCTAGACCATTGACATAGTTAGGATGACCCTCGCCGTCAACACGTTCTTCACGCCCCTGAGTTATATCGCAGCTGTATAGCCTGCCGTCGACACTCCCAGTCCAAAGGGTTTCTTTATTGCCTATATCAAACCGAGCCATGGAGGTAATGCTTTTCTGATGACCTTGGATGACGCGAGTTGGCCTCTCGCTGCCTTCAGTTAGATAGTTAAGGTTACCAGAGAGAGCCAGACTGATAATCAGGCCATCACTTCTTCCAGCCGGCCAAACAACTCCAACCTGCTGATCCGGTATGCTCACGGACCCTTCTTCGCCCATCTTCCAATTCTGCACGGCTTTCCCATGTTCCACATCCCAAATCTTTACCGTCCGGTCTGCGCTGGCTGTGACAAATTTGCGCGAGTCCTGCGACCAGGAGACACCCAGTATACTACCTGTATGCTCCCCCGAACCTATTTGAGCCTTGGTCTCTCCAGTTTTCCCATCGTAGAGCCAAATCCGTCGATCACCCCCGACACTGACGAGGTTTGCGCCATCCGGGCTGAAAGCGAGTCCGTAGATATAATTGACATGATTCGAGCCAGTGCTCGTGTTGAATTTAAAAGGTGGGCCGTTGTAAAAAATTAGGGACTTGTCATCTCCTGCGGTGGCAGCGCGAATGGGCCGTTGCTGCCGGATGGACACGCAATTGACTCGCTGGCTGTGGCCAGTAACCTCACCAACAGAATTGCCGCTATCTGCAGTAAAACAATGGCCAAATCTCTGTTTCCCTTCGCCCACTGCTATGATCCGCTGCGAGTCTCCGTCCCATGCAAGGTCGTTGATGCGGCCGCTGACAATGAAGTATTCGCCCTTTGTAACACCTTCCCCGACGCAGTCCCAGATCCTGACAGTGCCACTCTCATCGCCGCTGGCGACATAGTAGCCAGAAGGTGAGAATCGCGCAACTGTCGTTTCCGCTTTATGGTCTGTGTATTGTCTTGAGATTGAGGGGTTGTCAATAGAGCGGATGAAGATAGATTTGTTAGACTAGGTTTTCCCAGCGGATTATCTCAAGTCAGTTTTCAAAATAGGATCTCAAGAAGTAGATAGTAAAAGCATATCTCATCTGTTTCCTAACGTACTGCATAGGCTAACCGTTCGCCTTTGGAATCGCATGAGAGCTGTGTTGGCTGGCCTCGAGTGGTAGAGGGGCTCGGAGCCAGGATGATATCTAGATTAAACATGGTCAGCGCCGATGCTTACCACCAAGTCCAAACGACCGAGCTTTACCGTTTTTAATGGCCATTCCGCGGGCATTAATTCGCAGCAGTAGTCAAGTTCACGGACATCTCATCTAGGTCACGAAGGTTGTTGATGAATCGCGAACGCCTGAAACTCGTTGACACTAAGGTGGGGTTATAAACTTCCTAGGTTTGCCTTGTTGCAACGGCAACTTGAGCCAACACTTCAACCTCTCCCAGCAAAGTAAGGAGCCGAGGGCGAATAAGAAAAGGGGGAAATAATTAATGATAGTAAATTTTATATCTACAAACGCTATGGTACAGAACATAATCCTTCATCTCCTCCAAAAGCAGGGGAGGATAAAGCCAAATTTCCCAACGCCCATTTCGCAGTCTATGTCAAGAACATCACGGTCTCAGCCCTCGTTGCATTTTCGATCTAGCCTCAGCAGCAAGGATTTCGGGGTGTCTGTGAACGCTCGGCATCAGGCCCAAGCTTACAGCTCTTCGAATGGCTTTAGAGATTTTTCGCTGGTTCACTGGTCGCAGTCCAGTTTCGGAGGAATGTCTAATACGACCCATTTCGGTCACGTACTCGGACATGATAGCAAAATTCTAGCCATTCAACCAGGCAAGAAATAATTAGAATGCGCCAACTCAAAGCGACAGCGCATAGAGAGTAACAGACAAAGCGGAATTTGTGATATCATGTTCGGATGATGCAGAATCTACATACCTTGTACAGGTGGAGAGGGTTCAGAGACAGGGCATCAAATGCATCGGTCGGCGGGCTTTTCTTCTGTTTCCACTTCATCATTTCCGCCGGACTCAGATCGTGCGGAGAATATATATCGCCACTCTCCCAGTGTCGTTTCTGCTGTCTTTCGAAAGCCCGGGCTCGCTGTTCCTGTTGAGCTTGCTTCTCGAATCGCTCCCGCATGGCCAGTTTCATCATCGATTCGCGTTGGCTTCTCTCTGCAGACATTCCGTAGTATTAGATGGCGTTTATGTCACTACATCTCTATGCAGAGACACCCCAATTGAATTTCACATACCAGCAAATCGGCTGTATAACGAATTGGTAGAACTGCTAGAATTGCATCGTCGCTGGCCAGCCTGTAGCAGGGTCCGGTTGCTCGGAGTATGGCGGACAAAGGAACATATTGAACTCGTCTTAGAAGCCATTGTATGTTCCCAAATGCGTCCTGAACTAGGATCAGGAAAACAGGAGTCCAGGTGTGGAAAATTTCTATCGTTAAATACTAGTATTCAAGAAGAGTGGCAGTGGAGAAAGAAAATATGAAGATTTGATATTTCGATGGTTCGATGCCAAGCCTCGCGGGAGCTTGAAAGCGGTGTCTATTTATTGTTCTTTGACATTGAGACTCAGACCACTGCACATTAAATACCGATTTAAACCGTTGAATGTCAATGATTGCTCCGATATCAATGTGTGACTAGCTATCGACTTCTGTGCTTCGGAAAATATTTTCCATTCATATTACTTCGCCAGCGGGGAATTGTCTGCTTTGGACGTGATTGGGGGCATGGATTAAACAAAATGCACATTTTGTGAGCTCATATTCAAATAAAAACTCCTGAGTTGAACTGACATTGTATGTACCCATATAGGCGGCTACAGCGGTAAAAATCATGCGATCCTATCTCTCTCAAAGAACTTTTCGCGTGATCCTAGGAAGCAAACAATTCTCCCACCTGCGATGCGGTCTGCGGCTGGCTGTATCAACTCCATTGCGTACCGCCCAATGCTCCTGCGTATATAAAATACAGCGGAGATATCTGTTTGGATTCCCTACAGTTAGCCCGGCAGATATCCAACGCGAGACCAAAAAGAGCGAATATGTGGATTATGGGGCCCAAGCAATGAAGCAGTTGGTGGAAGCCTTGGAAGAAAAATCTCCATCGACACCAGACGCAATCGCGAAGGCATTCTCGTCTTTCATTCAGCATCGACTTGAGAGCCCTACGGATTTAACAGCTGCACAAGCAAAATTCTTACTGTGGGCATGGGAATATTTGGACAGTGTCGTCAAGGAAAATCAGTCGGCGAGCTTGGAACAGAGTATTGCGCAACCCGAAGATATCCTAAATGCCCTATCGCAATCGCAGTGGGAACCCTACGCCAATAGCGATGTGTGCTCCCTTTCGAAATCTATTTTCCGAAAGATCTGTCACAAGTCTGATGCGGAATCCGGCGCTGAACCATTTCCTAGTCGGGAGGTCTTATATCCATATTTACATATCCTAGCGGCCACTGGTGAACTCCGCGAAGCCCTCCAAGTGATAGACAATTACCGGTCATCTGTCTTCAGAAATGCGGGGATAAACCCTTGGGTACCTGTGGCAAAGGGTGTTATGAAAGAGGGACTAGGTGCTTTGAATATAATCTTTCAGCACATGAAAAAACATGGAATTCAACTCAACCAAAATACCCATGAAATATTGACGGTGGCAGCTGCGAAGGAGGGTAGGGCATCAACAGCAAAATTTATGTACGAATACAAAATAAACAACCGTTTGCAGCCTACTCTTGCTGCGACAATTGCCGCTGCAAATGCGATGATTTGGCACGGCAAGGCCGGTTGGGCAAGAGATCTGCTCACGCTTCCACGCCGGAACCCAACACCAGAAATTAGAGATGCGGTTTTGCTTCTAGCCGTCAGAAAAGGACAAGGAGCAGGTGATGTGGACAAAAAGCTAGTTGATCTGTGTACAATAAACCCTGACCTAGGGTCGACTTTAACTATTGCCACTATCAACAAACTTTTGGAATTCAAGGTCATCAAGCACGAATATGATGGCATCGACGATATTGTCTCACTTGCCAAAGCGTGGGGCCTAGAGCCAGATGGGTTTACAGGCATGTCAAGGGTGATTGTTCCTTTACACGCTGGTGATATCCCCGGCGCACTCTGTATGTATGAGGAGCTAGGCTTGCGCGAGCTTACAGGGAAGGCTGTTGGTCTGTGGAATATAATTTTGAGAAAACTCTGCGTGGCAGCACAAGCCGATCCTGAAGACGAGACTGTCCTAGCTTTCATCGATCGCCTCCTCGAATCAGATTGCCGCTTTGAAGCTGCTACCTTGGAAGAGCTGTGCCGAATGCTACTCCTTCGCCATGACCTAGAGGGCATATCAGAACTACTAAAGCCATTGGCTAGTTCTTGCAGCATACCAGGGCTCTCGCAAGTTCTAAACCCATTCTCACAATTTATTGCTGACCCACATGAATCTTCCGAAACCGCCTGGGAGGTTTATGACCTACTCGCGCGTGCGGTCCCTTACGCGCCTATGGAATTCTGGACGCAGAACATGAAACAATTTTTCAAGCGGGGCCGGCCAGATCTAGCATGCCTTGTGTTTGGACACATGCGCAAAAAAGTGAATCCACAAGATCGACCTACAGCCCATACGTATGCAGTGTGTTTCCATTGCCTCGCAAAGACAGCTTATTCGGAAGGCATTTTTCTTGTGCACAACATGCTGAAACTGGACGTCGAGGTGGAATGGACAAGGACATTACTGCACAAGCTTATGGCAGCATACACTGCATGCGGAAAGCACGAGCAGGCGATGGAATGCTTCAGGGAGATTTTGCATTCGGACGAGGGCCCCTCTTACTACTCTCTTACGTTATTTTTCCGCGCATGCGCGACATACCGCAAAGGGCTACAGGAAGCGACCGAGATGGTTGAGAAATTGAAAGCGCTCAATCTCCCTCTGAATAGGAGAACTTACAATAACTATATCCGCGCGCTGAGCGTCCATGGCGAGCTTGAACGTGCTTCAGACGCTATCAGTGTAATGCACGCAGAAACCGGAGAAACCCCTACAGTGCCTACGTATGTTTTCCCATGCCCAAATCCCTCTCCAATTCTCCACACATACCCTCCAGCCTTCCCTTCCGCTTCTCCAAAATGACTATTAACTAACCAAACCTCCTCCTTTTCCTTTTCACCACAGTATTGGGCTCCTGTATAACAACCTCCCTAATCAGAAATGGCGCGACCAGGCCGAATCATGGGCTAGGATGACCTTTCCAGATCTCTGGGCCGAACTTGAAAAGTTACCCTCAACCGTAGATGAGGATGGAGTTCGATCTTATGACCTTACCAATTGGGATGGAGAAGGACACTCTAGAGGCTTGGAGAATGATGATTGACGATGAATTTTCCCTAGCCAGGAGGAGAGTGAGCGCTGCGGAACTGGAAGATGACAACTGTGGCAGGACCAAGCGAAGGGCCTATGGACTTTACGGTCAGTAGTTCCGATAAATATATCATTCCAACACGGATTGGTTGGCATGCAATGTGCATACTGCATATTTTGGTGTTTAATTTTGGTGTTTAATGTTATCGAAGTATTTGAAATCCCATTCATTTCACTTGGAAATGGGGCGGGTTTCTTTTGGTCGCCTTGCTTTTGTATATTACCTAGATAGTTCTTTTAATGTACAGTAAAAACGAAGCTCCATGGCATTAGCCTCACTGGGGCAAGCAAGCATACAAAATTCTTAACCCCCTGATAGTGGACTGGTTCTCGGCATGCCTTCAGCAGTCGGGTTATCTTGATGGTGAATGTTTGCTAATGGGGGAAGTAGATTTTGCTCTACATGTATGGATATATACTATACTTCTTTGAAGCTCATCAGTCAAAATTACTAAGATGAGTATATTCAGTTTGCAGCACGGAGAAAGACAGAGAGGTTTGGGGAGAGGATTGGAGAAGGAGAGGGAGGTAAAGAACACTCACTCACCCCTTTCTCAAAGACCTCTTTTCTCCCAACTCAAGGAAGACATTATACCTCTACCACTGAAACTATCTCGATCTAATTTGTGGTAGAGTTGGCAAGTGCTAATAACGATATTCGGTTTGTAGATATAACTATCTCAGGCTGATGAGGAGATACATTTGAAGAAGAAAATGATGATAATGATGATCAAAGACACAGGCAACACACACAAACCCATTTCCCGTACGAACCTTTGCGCGCTCCGATGTAAATAGAATATACATTCAATAGTTAAATGAGAGAAAAAAGAGACAAAGAAAAAGGGAAATGAACCAGGATATCAGAGCACAATATTTGGTTGATTCTCGTAACAGTGACTCCAATGAAAGAACCACAAAAGGAATTCAAATTAACTAAATCAGAAAAAAGCACAAGGTTAACAAGGCAAAACATGCCGCTTAAACAGCTAATACTAGATGATCCCATTGTAAAGAAGCAAACGAACACTCCAGCATCATTTTCTTCCCACGTCCAGAATCCAGATAGCCCTTCCCTCCTGTCCAGCATCAGGCACAGCCTACTCACCAGCTACTTTCAGAGTATCATTCCTATTTCGCAGCCCCTGCGCCTTCAGTTTTGGCCTTTGCATTTGCAGTCGCAGTCGCAGTCTTAGCAGCTTTCTTGGTGATGCCCGCTACGGTAGAGGCCTTCGGTTGGCGCCCACGCTTGCTGGATGAGCTCGAGCTCGCCTTCATCGACTTCGTCTGGCTAATACTGTCCTTGCCTGTCTTAGACTTCGCTGCGGCGTTGGTGCGGCGTTTCTTGATAACTGGGGAAGTGGATATGGTCTCGATTATGCGCGGGCGCGCATTGCCGGTTGCGCCGCGGGTAATTGCCATTGTAGTTTATTCTTATTTATGTATATGCCTAGTGCTTTTAGGTCGAAGTTGAAGGCTGGGAAAGGAGAGAGAGAGGATTGTGGAGAGGGTTTTTGTTCGCGCTGAGAATGCGATTGCGTTGATGAGTGGACTTAGCGACTATCAGATCACCGCGACATTTATTTTGCTGTCCTGGTAATAATGGCGACAAATGGCAAACTAAAGCACTTATCTGTTAATATCTTGTTCAAAACTCAAGTTCCCTGTTTGGGATGGAAATTTAAGTGCGCTCGTATATCCAAAATAGAGACAGCAGAGAATTGGGCAAGGATAAGTAAGAGTCACGGAATATACATAACATCTAAATCCTACCTTTGAGAATGAAATGATTTTCAAAGGCTTGCAAGCAATAACAAGTAGAACGTCTCTAGCAACGTAGCCAAAGTTTCGAATTTGTTGGAGGGGGATGCGACGCAATCAAAACAAGCACCCTTGACTACACAAAAGGAGAGGCGCGATTCTTACCTGGTCTGGATTTATGTGGAAGGAAGGATGTGGACCACCACAAATTTGATATAGCAGTAATTCAAATATTCGCGACCGTAGATCCGTAGAAGTGTGAAGCAAAGCAAGCAAGGACTTGGAGGATGCTAGAAGAGATGAAGCATGAGGGGTTGCGGTTGCGGAAGATTGAGCAGTTCTTTTCTTTTCTTTTCTTTTGCGGCGTTTCAGCAGCGGCAAACAATTTTTGTTCCAGGGGCTCAAGAGTTCTAGAAAGCCAACAACAGTCAAGAGGTCAACACTTATTCAGTGTCACAGTAACAAGCGAGAGGGGAAGGACCGCAGCTGGAAATTAAAAAGGGGATGTCTTTTGATTTGATTTTTGATTTGTTTTTTTCCATCAACAACGCGGGTTTCAGGGGATTGAACAAGTGCATTCTGGCGCCAATACCTGGGCACTTTGCCAGGCTTAATGGGGTTTAATCAAGTCAAGGCTTCCCAGAATGCGCTGCTAATGGCCAGCTGTAGTATTTCTAGTTAGTTAATGACTGAGAAAATGTGTAGACTTTTGGGCAGTGATCGCGCTTGTTCGCTCCAGAAACATAGCGATCCATCTAAGTGCACCGATTTCAACTGCTAGATCGAATTCGGGAGGTCCATAAAATATTGCGTAGACTTATTTATCTGAATGAAACCTGCCCCTAATGCCCAATGCCACCGATCCTTGACGGAATATGTTGCCTTTGTTGAACTTGCCGGCCCAATAAGGCTACCAATACCGCATCCCGCAATGAAATGGCCTTCAAGTGGTACCAGGATTGATAATCGAAACGGGATCTAGTTTTTGAGAATACACCGATAATGAGCCCCTCAAGAATTTGTGAACGTTTCCGCTATGGGAAAATGTCAGGAAGCCGAGATATGTGCGTCTCATCAAGCAGCGAAGAGTAACTACATCCAACATCTTATGGCATCTGTGGATGTCAGAAAATCGCAGGAATGGAATGAGAGCGGGTTCAACACTCGGCATGTCTGTTCAGTCCCAATCTGATTTTTCAGCGGCGTTTGCGGCCTGTCCCAAAGCCACATGGAAGCTGTCCCAGCCTCCAATCTCCTCTGAAATGTTTTTGAGTCGTCCAGTAAATGCACCTGCGAACTATGCTGCGTGGAGACGCCTGAATCCAGGGGAGTAGCTATTTTCCAGTTTGGGAAATTTCTCCATACAGGTTTAGGGCTTAAACCCTAACTCCCCTACACAGCTTTATATACTAGTAGCAAAGTGCAAGAAGGAAGGGAGAAACAAAAGAACGATTGATTTCAAGGTATTGTCTTTTATTATACGAGCATGCCAACATGATATTCCAATTACATAGCAGATTCAACAAATGCTGTTTTGTCCCCCGTTGTAATCTCTAAAATTAGCAATACATCACGTGATTCCATTTGGATCATTCTTGATCCGGTTTAGCACCGGCGGAGAATCCGCATTACATAAGCTCCTACCGAAGGACACACAGAATCCCGTTCAAAAATATCTCCGCCATCCAGACTGAGCCCTGTTGCACTTCCTCGACAACGCCCGACGACGACACGACTCCGACCACGACAAGACCCACAATCGCCTCCATCCTTCCTCGATCTTCTTTTCAAGATGACCCACGAGTCTGTTTACTACAGTCGTCCCAGGACCTACGGCAAGGGAAGCCGCCAGTGGTAAGCATTATGTCATATATGCACTCTTTCGCTCCCGAGGGAACAGGGGCAGGAGATGGGGAATAAAGGCTGGGGACGGACTTCATTGGAAGGATGGGCATCCATGATAAAAAGGGCTGTGTTATTTGCAGAGATTGTGTAGAAACAGACGGGAATTGGGGGGTGGGGGGTTAGCGGCGGCGAGAGACAAGCGGGAAACAAACCGACAAATATTGTTTTATGGGAAATGTTTTACTGATTTATCGCAATTTCTTCGATATGATATAGCCGCGTCTGCGCACACAAGGCCGGTCTCATCCGCAAGTATGGCCTGCTTGTCTGCCGTCAGGTAAGTGAAACTTAACCATCGTTCCAGTCTGGTGGTGGTCGTCGGTTTTATCTTGATAGAGGGGAATTTAAGTTTGCTAACGCTTTCTTCTTTTGTGTGGCTTCTAGTGCTTCCGTGAGAAGGCCTCTGATATTGGCTTCATCAAGGTAATTATTACTCTAGATATATACGCACAGCCCACTGCCTTGCTTGATAGCAATTGGCGATATGATATCACATCCCTCAGGGACCGGCGGGTTATTCCGGCAGAGTATATGGGACAGAGAAAGAGGGCGCGCAACCGTGGGGAAGCAGGATATAGGAACTAACCAAAATTGTTTGTCTAGTACCGGTGAACCCTTGCCTTCCCCGTTTTGGTAAATCGCACACATATCTTCCCCGCACCGCATATATCGACAACGAAAGAAAACTTCCGCCCACCTACGCTACGACCTGTCTGAACTTAGTCCAAACATACCCGAATACCTCTAATAGAAGAGTTCCATAATATTTTTGCCAGAAGGGAACGAGCGAACAACATACATGAGGAGATAAATTTCAATAAATCGAACCGATTGACTTGATGTTGGCTAAGATAGGGGGGGGGCGGGATTTGATAATGAGGTAGCAAGGCTGAATATAATATGCGATTTGTTAAGAGTGTTCCTCCCTTTTCATCTCATCCTCCATTTTTCCCGAAACCTCCCCTCTTCTTTTTATTCTCAAAATCACTTTTTTTCCTTTGTAATGTGTTGTCGAGAATCCAAGCATGTGGTGTTTCCCCTTTATATGATGGATGGATGGTGTTTTGTGTGCTTGTTTTTTCTCGATCTTAGAGCGCCCAAAACAAAAGGAATGAGAAAAAACTTTTGAAAGTCCAAGTCAATTCTACATATTCCGAAGACATATCAATCAGGCTTTCCACCCTTACACACCACAGTCCTCAGATTTCCACTTCCGGACGCATTCGCGTCATATTCATACCATAGTCTGGGGTAATAGCGGAGTCCCCGCCCTGGGAAATGAAGAAAATACTAAATACAACAGGGCGGACGGGTGTACAAACATAAAGACTTTGTTCGAGGGTGGGAGGGCTATTTAGACCCGATAGATATTAAGCGGGATTAAATGAAAGGAAGTAAGAAAGAATCAGGTGGGTAGAAGTAGAAGTTCAAGATAAGAGAACGATATATGGAGAAAGTGGAAAAGCCGGAACAAAAAGATATTCTAGAAAGGGATGGATGATAAATTCCTGAAATTTTGTATAAATATAATAGTTTTTGTTTACAAAAAAATAAAATAAATTCAAAAACATAAAAAAAAGCCTATAAGTATCAAAAAAGGAATGGAAAGAGAAAATGAAAAAGAAATTCGTCATTTGCCAACTGAACCTATATAGTCACTCAAGTCATCTCTTTCTTTTTGTCTAGGTGTTTTTTCTTCTTTTCTTTTGTTTTTCTTTTTTTTTTGTCTTTCCTGCTTGGCTTTTTGGCCTTTTTATTGTAAGATCGATATCAGGACACAATGGGTTATTATTAGTATTATTAGGAGACGTTTTGTTTGTCTCTTTTTTTTTATTCCCCATTATTTTCCCCATCCCTCTCCGGGTTAATATTTTTTTTTTGGTTTAAAAAACAAATCCAAACTCCAGATAAGAGCTTCCTTCTCTTTTACGTTTTGTTTCGTATAGCCTGGATAGAATTGAATCATTTCTTCTGCTCTATGAGTTTTGCGGTTCTCTTGGACATGCTGTTTTTTTGGGAGGCAAGGTGGTTAGTTTTTGTGTGTAATGTAAAAAAGTGATTCGATTAAGTAAAATGGCAGAAAGAGAGAGGAGCGGAAGGAAAGGTCATGGGAAATACGTACAAATCGAAGAAAGAAAACTGGCTCGGACTGCTACCGTACTCGTAGACGAAGCGGCTGGCAAGGTAGCTTCCAAAGATGGAGCGGAGGTAGTTGGTAGGCACCTAATGGTTTTGGATGTTAGAATGGAATTTCGTCATGTTACGCATGTTGATTGATTGTATTGAGGGTTGCGTCGGGAGAGCGGGAAAAATTAAAAAAAGAAGAAGAAACCACCCACCCTCTCCAAAATCGTCTCCAGCCCAATTTTCTCCAACAAAAGCTTCGGTAAAGCATCGCGCAACACATCCTCTCTCAAAATCTTATTCTCCCAAAGCTCCGTCTTCTGTAACTCCTCGTCGAGCTTTGTGATGGCAAGACTAAGTTTATCGCTAATCACACTCCGCGGCATCCCCGTCTCCGCATGCTCGCGCCAGATGGCTTCGAACTCCAAACGCGCGTTTCGCTGGATGGTCTCCTGGACCTCGCGCACGTACGCATTGTAGAAGGGCGGGATGGTCCCGTCTTCGCGCACGCACATGTTCTCCTCGAAGCCCTTGTCGTCGAAGGAGAGGGAGGCAAGGACCTCGAGCGAGGAAGAGGTGACGCCACCTTTGTTTACGGAGGCGTCTTTGAAGACGACGCAGCCGGCTTTCTCTAGGCGGATTTTGCTGTCCTGGGTCAGGAAAAGGTTGGCGCCCTCGACAATGTAGGGGATGGTGGCTTTGCCGTTTTCGATCAGCCGGCCAACGTTGCTGAGGTCGATGGATTCCGGCCGCCCACCACAAGGGACGAAGACGTCAAAGTTCCGCCCGCCGCGGAGGTGGAAGGTATTGCGGAAGACGGTGCCGTTGTGGACGAGTTCGCCGTCCGGAAGGGTGACATTGGTGTCATCGACGAGAACGCGGTAACCTTCTGGGGATAGCTTGGATGCATCATAGTGGACGATCATGGCGCGCTTCTTGGCTAGTCTGACGAGTTCGTCGCGGTCGAGCCCCTGCGGGTCGACAATGACGCCAGACCCGTCGACGATGGCGCAGTATTTCTCGTTCCCGAGGAGGATTTCGTTGGAGCCCAGATCGCCGTCGGGGCCGCCGGTTTGCATTTTACGGACTGTGGATGGGTCGATGCCTGTCTTGCGGTAGATGCCAAGGACATACTGGCGGACAGATAAGGTGGTCATGCCATATCTGTCATGGGGGATACCGCCGAGCTTGGGGCTCTTGCCGGTAAAGAAGGACTTCCACCAGGGCGCACCGCGCTTTCGCGCATGGTGTGTTGCCCAATCGACTAACTCAGCAGTGTTCTCGTCGGGGCCCATGAAGAGAATCTCATCTTGTCCGTGGAGGTCGACTATTGGGTCTTTGATACCAGGACTGACCGGCGGGAGGAGCAGGTCGAGGATACTGTCGACGTACTTTTCAAAGGCCACTCTCGCCTTGTTCTGATGGTTAACGTCGAGCAGGATAACGCCCTTAGCGCCACCTTCAGGGATATCCTTGTTCTTCCGCTGCTGGGTATTGGCGAGGTTGTAATTTTCATCAAACAGCGAACGGGCATTAATGGCATAGGCTTCCTTGTCACGACTTTTGACTATCCGGATACCACCACGGGCTATATCGCGGAAGCGGAGATGGAAGCCGCGGAACTCAGAGCTGATTATGAGGAACATTCCGTACAAGCGCTGGGGGTATTCGTGTTTGGGCAGGAAATCCGCGTTAAGACGGAAACTGAGGGCGACCTTGGTCGGGGTGTAGAAGTTAGTCTTGAGGACAGCGGCGTTGAAGATGCGGAATGAGTTCATGACCATCTCGTCATTCTCGCTGACGACGGTTTTAGAGACCAGCTCGTCGAGGCGGTCGTGATCCAGGGGCTCATCAACCTGCAGACGCAAGTAGCTAAGCGTGGGGAGGAAGTCATCAGGAACTCCTTCGACCATCTGCACGTAATGTGTTTTGGCGAAATCAAGATACAGCTTGTGGATGAGTTGGGGGTATTTGTTGATGATCTCGAGGATATAATCTGAGGTGAAAGTTTCGGTACGAAGTCGCTTCTTGATCTTCGAAAGGAGCTCAGCATGCGAAGTGTTGCTAGAGTCGAGGAGAGCGGTTAGGGAGGTATATTCAGATCCCAGGCGGTTCAGGAACTGCTGCACGAAGACCCATACGCAATGGGCGTAGATAGTCTCTTGTAAGCTAAGACGGCCACTGGCAAAATGGCTCTGGAACTTGTTCTGAGGAATACAGTAGAGCAACGAGATCTCCTTCATGATCTGATGGATTGCAGCTTCTATAGGCGGGTGTTTGCCGGAGACTTCTGCGCCTTCCATGGGTTTCAGATAGAGCGAGACCACAGTGATACCATTGGAGAAGTTCTCCAGGTACTTGCGAGAGCTTGTAAGACGGTAGTAATGGTAGAGATCAGACAGGGCGCTGAACATGCCCATGGCGGAACCTTGGCGGTATGCGATGACGAGTCTCTTTTCACGACTCCCTTCAATCTCGAACATTTCAATAACAGGGCCAGATCTAGCCACGGCATTGATAATGATCTCCTGGTAAATCGCCTTTGTGTTCGCGGTAGCCTTTTGCAAGAAGCGCTTCTCACCCACGATCTCAATGTTGGTCTCCTCCGGGTCTGGATGAGGCTCGTTGAAGAGACATTTGTATACGAAATAGCAACGTAGCTGCTGCTCGTGGTTATCTGGAAGGGAGCTGGCAGAACGGAAAGTTTCAACACGATAGCTGTTTTTCGGAGTCGAGCCATTGATGTATTTCTCGTCGATGCGCTGTTCATAACGTGGCCCATCGATGGCACTTATCCCGGGCTTGCTGGTGTCGATGTAGACAGCATGGTCGGCAGCTTCCTTATCCAGCCTTATCTCCAGACGCTTATCATCGCGGGCATATGCGGCAACTTTCGCGGCGTAGAGGGAGAGGATATGGCTGACGATAGCATCGACGGTCTCGGTTTGGAAGTACATGTCGTCAATGCCAAGCATGTTGTAGAACCAGTTGGTTTCCGACGAGACGAACTCAAATGGGATGAATCCCTTCTCCTCGAGCTGGTCCATAACTATTCCAATTAGTTAGTCATGATCCCAAGCTAAATTTTTTTCTCTTTCTTTTTCTTTCTTTCTTTCTTTCTTTCTTTTTTTGGTTTAAGATGTGTGTAAAAAACTCACCGGCCTCCATCTGCTTCTTCTTCCCCTCAAACTTCGCCGCGACATATCCGGGGCCTTCCTCAGACAATACACGATGTGTGCCACCTGGAATGCCCAGATGCGTGGGCTGGGGCGATGGCTGACGGCCCGGAGTGCGGATGACCATATCCAACTGTTTATTGACGAGGGGATGTCTCTGGAAGCCGGTGGTGGGGGTTCCGGTGCCAGAGCCCTCCTTGGACGAGAGCGGAGTGGCGACGGGTCTGGAGAACATGCTGACGCTGTTGGAAGACGCGGGTTTGGGTTTTTCGCTATCCGTGGTCACCGTTGCGGAGGAGAGATCGGGGTTTGGAATGGTGGTGGGGTTGATGGTTGCGGGTTGTGAAGACATGGTGGAAACAATTGTGGGGGATGGGGGGCTGGAGCTTTTTTGTTCTTTTCTTTGGAGGGTTTCTGTTCTTTTGATCTCGATATATTTCTATAGAACAAACGGTATTTCAAGGACGAAGAAAACAGGGTGCAGCGATTAACATAGAGATGCAATGAGAGATTTGAAACACCAGGGAACGCTGAGACACCACGATAGAGAATGGCTGGCGGGGCACGATCGATTGCCCAAGAGTTGGAATGGAGGAGAATCCAAGCTGAAACGGTGATAATAGCTCCCGGATAAATTTAGAAGCAGGGATAGGTTCAAAGAAGACTGATTGGAGAATTGGCGGAAATCAGACGAGCAGGGAGAAGAAGCGGGGGACGAAGGGAAGTACGACTACTGCCATGAGACAGACGAGAATTCTTTGCTATTGATTATTGACTTGATGGCATGGACATGGAGATGGAGATGGGGTCGATGGGATATATAGAAAGATCCATACGTGCATATATGCGCTGTAGAGTTATAGATATATATATCTCTAAATATGAATGGAGGATGGATCCTGGGGGAAGGAGAGCGAAAGAAAAAGCAAAAAAAATTATGTATCATGTAATCTGTGTGGTTAGTTATACCACGTTGCACGCCTTACAAGTCCACAAAACGGCTTACCCTTCCTCACCTGGGTACTCCGTACAGTAATCTGTATTCCGTACGTCGTACGCCATTTTCCCGACTGGTCTGCCCGGTAACCGTAATAAAATACCGGTAAATATCGACGCACGTTACAGAGTCTCCATACAGGCGCAGATCCCAGTGGCCAACCCCAGGAAATAGTGTAAGATATACCGCTGTATACGTCGTGACAATACACACCCGTCCAAGGCCAACCAGTCACAGCTCCACGGCCAATCACGGCGACCGTGGCTGGTGCAGTTGCTGGCGGAAAGCGTCGGTTGAAGCGGGGTTGGGTGGGGTTTTTGGGGCGGTGTGCGTGGCCAGGTCTTGCGCATCACGCGCGCGAAAAGTGAGGGAATTATTTTATTCCTGGCTCCGGAAAAAACGACTAATACGTTGGTAACTGTCCGTTACGCGGTACTGGCGATACGGGGGGTCGAACAAAGGCCTGGCCAAACCTTTTTATGCCTGACATAAAAGCCAAACGGGAACGGCAAAGGTTGAAAAAACTCTGTTATTCATGCTCCCCATCATAGTTATTCAGAATTGCAGGCGGTGGACGTGAGACGACGGTGTGCATATGAGGGTGTTCAATTCTCCCTGGCGATAGTTGGGCCAAGCTGCCGCAGTTACCTTATGCATTCATGGTCATGATCAACAATCCCAACAAAGCATCCCGCTTCTACCATCACCTTTCCTTTTCTCATCCTCAACAGTAATAATGACAGGATAGAACGGATGCGTAATCGCTCAATAATCACTAGGCCACAAAAACCAAAACACGGAGAACAACCTCTGTGGCGGCGCAAACAGTGGTCAAACCCAGCATGATAACATGATACATGATACATGGCGGTGGGTCCCGCTCCACGTGATATTCAAGATTTCAAGGCTGGGGAACAAGGAGGAAAAACATAACGCAGTCAAGGCAGGAAAGGCAGGAAAGTCTCCACCTGGCTGGCACCTTGCGCCTGATCCCTTGCAGATCGGCGGCATTAATAAGACAGTCTGGGCCCAGCGGAGGTTACCTGCTAGGTGATGCGCAACTCCAGTCTTACTCCTCCATCCGTAGTCCTCGGAAGGAATAGCTGCGATCACAATTGGCTGGGCTGTCTACAGGTATCCAGAGCGAAGTTCTCATAGTGAGCCGCTACTCGGGAAAAGTAAGGCCTCTTCTTTCTTTGTGTGTGTGGGGAGGAGGGGGGGGGGAAGAATGGATAAAATCTATCTAGACTTTAACTTAACGCAGCAGTACTCCGTAGACGCTCCCCTTGTCGGGAAAAAAGGTTGCGTTCATTGGCAACCAAACACGATTTGGATATGGAAAATTTTTTATATTTCCTTGTCTCCCAGCTTCCCGAATTGGAATGGGACGATACGGTATTCTAAAAACATTGTTGTCGAACTCTGCTTTGCCCCTATGTTGGTGACGTCGTCTTGCCGAGCAAGCGGTGGTAATCCTTGTTACATGGGCTTTTCAGGTACCGCGGCTGGATATCCAAAGAACAATACGGGGGGGGAAGGGAGGGGGGGAAGATGGAAGTCCCTGTAATCCTTTTGATCCTTGATGGTTGACGCTGAGAACTGGATAGCATTTGATTCGCTCCCAGTTCGACGGGCACTCATCACTATTACTAGTACAATGAAAATTTTTCTCCCATCGCTCTGCACAGTAATAGCCTCTTACAGATGCGAAGAGCACGCCATCATGATAAAAACCATCAAACCCTTCTCATCCCTTTTTGTTTAGTGCAACTGCGAAGAAGTCTCTCATATAGCACCCACACTCTCTCTCACTCGAGATAGTGTCATTGAACTTGTCAAAGAGAGTTGTTTTTTCTCCTTTTGATAGTCCTCGCTGTCTTATACGCAACATTGCAGACAAGCAACCAGTATCCGTAGAGAAATAGAAATCCCTAGATATGAATAAACATGGCTGGATAAATAAAAAAAAAAAAAAAACGTCTTGGATCACTATCGGGGTTTGGTAAATTATATTCCGCACATAGCCCCAAGGCCCTTCCTTGCACATAGATATATCTGTGTCCAGCTTCGCGCATGGTATTGTTAAGTGGGTATTTAGGATCAAAAGACAGCTGGCTCACATAAAGATCGTTATCCCCGCATGCAGCGCCAGAAGCAATATTTGTATCATATTCCACCACGTACCTGTGGAATTTTTATTCTCTTCCTGTTACTCCTTGATGTGATACGAAAGGAGAGGAAAGGAAAGGAAAGGAAAGAAAATAAGCCTGATTTCAGAATCCACGACAAGGTGACACGGAGGAGTTACCTATAGAAACTGAAGCGTTTTGTTTTCACCGCGACTGCTTTGCTAAGTCCCAAGACAACACAAGACAAACTCCTCGAAATGAAGGGAAGATAACGGGTCGGAATATAGTATAGTACCCATGGGTTGAAAGTTGGGTGCAGCAGTTGTCCAGTATGAGCTTGCAAGAAGCTATACGCGTTCTTTTTATCTATACAATCTTTTGTTAAATGAATATCTGCAGGTTGGAAACCATTGCGATCCTACTTCATAAAAAGCTCGCTCACTTGCATGTCACAACGGCCAATATGGGCTTCTTGGGACCATTTGACTGTTGTTTTCCTTGTGTGTGTAGAGCGTATGTAGAAATAGAAGTTGATTTTGGTGAATGGAGTGCTTCAGGATTCGTATGTGACTAAAAACTACGGAGTACGTCATACGTCATAGGGCAATATAACGAACTGCTCCCGTAAGTTGACCTGAGAGTTACCATATATTGAATCGAAAATTTTCCAATGCCGACACGTCTTTCTGTTGAGATAGAAACAGCAATAATCGTAAAAACTCATGTCTGTCTTCAAGAGCCATCTTTGAGACAACGATTGAGTAAAACCGACTCTTCACTTGCCGATGCGGAACGTTGGAGCCACGTAAAGGGCTCGATAAATATCTGAAATGTAACCCCCCACCAAGAAGAAGGGGAAAAAAAAAAAAAAAAAAAAAAAAACCATAGCAAAGCCATTCATTTGGAGCCCCGTGGCCTCAGGCATGCAACCTCTATTTCCCCTTTGGATACTCCTCGCCCATCTTCGGGTTAAAGTGGGTACCCGATGCCTGCCGTAGTATGAACCCCCACTGGCTTCCGTCCTCCACCTTTTTTTTTTTCGGCTCGAATGGACACCTGGGAGCGGGGGTCGGGATGGTCGGCTAATTTTACATACAAAAGTGTAAATAAAACAACATACGGCTGGCTGGCTTACCCGAGGGGTGGTGGCGGATCGGCGCGGAAAGCTTGATTGCAAAGGTACAGTCAATTTTATTTTATATTTCGTTTATGCAAAAGTTAAGGAACATGAAATTAATGAGAGGGCTATGAGCTTACCTTTAAACGATTTTAGAGGGAGGAGGGGGAAAGTTTATGATAAATGAGAATGAGAGGCGTTGAAGGTTTTTTTTTTTGTAAAGAATTGGATGAAAGAAGAACAAGCATGTTTCTTTCGAAGACACAATATCCTCCCAAAAAGCTAGCTTTCGGATACACTGCTGATATCAAAGAATTGCATTTCTGGCAATTCATCTTTTATCAGCAGTCCTCTTCTTTTTTTTTTTTTTTTTCCCTTTCATTTTCGGAGAAATTGATGGAGAAAAAAACAAAAAGTAAAATCTGTAAATTTTAGATAAAAAAATACCCCTTTGGTAGAATATTTGTTGTTCTTGCTTCGTTCTTCCTTCTGAGGTGACATTCAAGATGGGAAAAATTTTTTATTTTCTCCGCGTTTTCTCCATTTTTCGTCCGTTTTCCCTTCCCCACGAAGAATGTTCCCAAACCAAGGAAGAAACTAGGCTAGGGATCGCCAGGCTTAATTACCAAAATGACCTTTGATGCGACAGCACCTTTCCACTTTGAACTCGCAGAAGCTAGCTGTTAACTGTCCGTTCATGAGATAACTAGATGAGCGGTGAAATCTTATTCAACCTGTCAACCGCAGGCCTCCCCTGAAGAGAGACGGACAGGGAGAGTGAGAGCAGGCCGGGACCGTAGCCAAGTCTCTAGACAGGTGCTAAGAGGGGAATGAGGAATCCTATGGAATAGAATTGTTAGGGCGAGATGGAGCTCCTTTCCCCGAGCACAAGGGATGGGGAGTGAAGGGAAAATTCGTTGCTTGGTTGAGGTAAAACAACACTTGCAATCATGGCAAATGGTTTCGAGCCCTGGAGAGAGATTGGTTTGGGGCAACCAGCCAGAACAAAATGTTCGTTGCCTTGGAACTCCAGGACTCAAGCGGCGTATGGCGGAGACATTCACAGCGGACGGGGAGTTTGGGATTCCGCTGATCCCAAGCCTGAGTAGTGTCTGCAGCGGGAGCGGGAACGAAATGCTTCTTCGCTCCCTCCGGCGGAAGAGCAGTCCCCGGCTTCACTATGATCTAGCGGCAACCACCGCCGGGAACTCTCCGCTACCTCGTCGGTGGCTTCAAGCCCTGTTTCGACAAGCATCCCGAGTCCATGTGAAACAGCAATGCTCGTATCAATTCTCACGGCTCTTCACATGAGTAAATAATACAATTCTTCCCGCTACACATACCCCCCTCACAACGAAGTGCGTCACCATTCCACAAGAAAATCCAAAAGGCGTCCTAGCATTGTTTGGAATTAAGAGCCCGGAGATCCAACGCCTACTTCCCCCCTTCTCGCCTCGCCCCGTCCTGTGCAAATAAACTCTCGTGAAGACACTGCACCTCCGTATCCACACAAGCACAATCGAGTCAGATCCATGGATTATGTGGTTTATTGCATTTGAGTGCCTGAAGTATTAGTATGCATCTATCCAACTAGTTAGATTCCGCTCACCGTCGCACAAAGTAGGGGTTTGACAATAAGAAATAGCCCCGAACACTGCAAACAGGCGAATTGCACAAGTAAATCACGCTTGAGATAATTACCAGTAAGGAGCGTTCACATTCAGTTACCTCGGCTGCAAGGATCATGGAAGCAAGTATTATTTTTCTTTGAAGCCCAATTTCCGCAAGTCTTCTGGAAGGCCGCTTAGCGCGCGGTACTAGCAGGGTTCAGAGGTTAGCCGGCGGCTGTTTAAATCTGGTTAGCGGTTGTGGCGCAATCAGTTCTCCTTTTCTTTTCTTTTTTTTTGTTAAAAAAAATATTATTTAATAAAGAAAAATACCCATTCCCCGGACTTTTTAGCATTTTTATTTTTTTTTTTTTTTTATTTTTTTTTTTTTTTTTCTCTCTTGGGGATGGCCATTGGAAATTTATTACATTTTTATGTTTTTCTCCTTTTTGCTGATGGAGTGTCAGCCACTGGTATTTTATTATTCTCACGAAGGTTGCGTCAAACAGGTTGGTTTGTTATTGTCCGAAGTTTCAAACAGTAACAAATGAATCAATCACTTAGCAATCTGACAGGGGCAAGGACCGAGAGCTCTCCCAGTGGCTGTGGTCCAATGGCTCTGATTGCACGGTTACTTCAGCAGTAAGCTCCTGCTTTCCGCTTTCCCCACAAAACCACATGGGAAATAGTCGCAGCCGCGGATCTCGAAGTGAGATTTTCCTCCAAGAAAAGGGAGGATTCCGCGAGGAACGCCTCCTGAGATTCTGGTGAGATTTTGCGGTGGGCCTTGGGTTTCAGCGCTATGGGCTAGTTCGTTTGAGAACATGCTCCCTCAGTTCAACCTCTTCCGTCGCGAAGTTCCCTGCTGGGGGGGTTACATACGGAGTACGTAGTATAGGTATAGGGGAGGAAACGTAAAATGATGCCGCTCGATGCTCAGGCCTTGTACTTAACTCTTGGACTTTTGGCTACTGAATCGAATCCAGTCAATAGATCTGTCAATGGAGTTTTGATTTGCCAATAGGTGGCTATTTATCATCTGAACCATAATTTCGGGATTTCGATAAATCTACTCCGTACAGATCTGTACACTCTGTTCCGGAAACGGGGGGATCCGCCCGGCGATGAGTTGACAGTTGGTTAGCCCGTTCGATCCCGCTGTTCCCCGGCCCAATAAAGGAGAATGCACTTGCAGAACGTGGGGCCAAAAAGAGCTATTTGGGAACGGGATATGGGGAAGCCGGGGAAGCCGCGGAAACCTCCCACAAAAACTTAGTCAATCGTGGAAAAAGTGACACATTATGAAAAGCAAGGGAAAAAAAAAAAAAGAAAAAGAAAATATGACACGTTGAGTAGGGAACGAGGTAGCCTGAACCCAAAGACCCAGTGAAAAAAATGGTCGATCAACGCCCAACGAACTGATGACCGGTGTTTGATGGTGGGTTTCTCCTATTGATGAGCTGGCACCAGGGGCCCGGGTCGCTGGGTCCTGTGCAAACAAACGCTGTTAGCCTGTGACCCACCTTCCACACAACCGAGCCCAAGCCATCGCACAGTTTATGATTAGTCGTGAGGCTGGACCGGGGTATCAATCACCAAACCTTGTTTCCCCTGGAGAAGCCTGGAATCGTGAAAGGCAGCCTGAGAACTTGGAAGGACCGCCGATGGCCGCGTGTTCATTTTTGGCTCCTTTCTTTCCCCGGATATCTGAGATACTCGCGATCCGCCAATGGCCGAATGATATCAACATAATAATGCGCAGAGCGATGGATGCATGCATGCCTGCAGAGCTCCAACCTGCAGCAGGAGTCGAACAAAAATACCATAACTACCATATCTGATCTGTATTATTATTAAAGGAACTCCGTCTTCGGGAGGGAGGCACATCAGAGCCTGTTGGGTCGCAACTGCGACGGCAACAGAACACCCCAAGCCCAAGCACTGGCTAACGAAAGCACTTCTCGATCACATTAACGAAGGCAGAGCTACTCCAGATCTGCAGATAACAAATAAAAAACATAGCCTTGGAAACGCTTCCCAGCGGAGGGAACGGAAGTTCGGAATCTGTGGGCAAGTGGATATCATGACTAGACAAGGAGGAGCCAGGAATAATAACCAGGACTCACAGAGGTTGTTATTATCCAGGTTGCAACTGAACAAGGTGTGAGCGAAGTGCCTGGCCCTGGAAAGTTGGAACACAGTCACAGTTCCAGCCTGAGTCTTGAGTCTGACGGGCAGAGACACATCCATCCTCCATCATGTCATTATTGGTTTTGCATCGGATACCTGTAACGGGCCTGGACCTCCCCCAATGCAGGTTAGGTAGTTCTACGGAGCAGTTGTTTTAAGCCAGTTACACGAATACAACTCCGTTCACTAGCGAAGTGACCTCAGGAAGGGCTTACTTACCCCGGTTTTTATCTTTTATTTTATTTTTTTTTTTTTTAAAAATCCTCGTTGGGTATTGCCTTTCTTTTTTTGCTTTTTCTTTCGGCCTGGGCTGCGTCGTTGGGCGATCACCCTTCAGGTTCCCAGCCGTCCATGTACCGGCATCTTTATTAAATATGGAGCGGGTTGCCCTGTCCTGGCACTCTTTTCTGCTGATTCTTTTTTCTTTCTTTCTGGTTTTCCATTCTTTCTTCCTTTCCAGCCTCTTCTTTCTCCATTAAATCAAAGTGCTACAGTCGTTTTAAGTTCTACCATCTGCATATAAAAAAATAAACTGGACGCTCGCTTCGTTTTCTGGACTCAGAACCCACCCTACCTACATACCTACCGAGAATATACTACACATCGACCTCTTCACCTCATCGATAATAATACAGTAAGAACCCAATCCAGATACCCTCACGCCGAGAAGAAAAAGTAAGTAGAACATCTCTGTTCTGTTATTCTCACTTTCGTATTCGGTTTCGTCGGACGATAATACATCTGCGAGCCTCGGCTCTCGTGCCGCCTGGGAGCTCAACACATGGGGAAAAGCGAACACGGCCATGTTTGCTCGCCATCCACGTCGGCAGTAGAGTAGCAATTATTAATATCAATCAAAAGAGAGAGTTCCCGTGTGGCGAGGACGAAAATGCATAGAACTCAAAATATCATGTGCAAAAGCCGCAAGCGGGGGAACTATATACATATAACGTTGGTTCATCCATTTCATTTGCTAACGGCCCCATCAGCACAGAGGAAAAAGATTACACATTAGCCATTTCTCCAACCTTCAAGCAAACGAACACAACGTTAAACGAGAAGGACTCGAACCTTTCAAACAGATCCGAGAGGCGGAACAAAAGAGAAGACCAAATCCTTCCAGAATCCCCGAAGGATCCATACATATAGCTCGATTTCTCTCCGCAAACCATCCAATCACCAAGGAATAAGGCAAGGGGGAAATAACCATAAAACAAGAATAATGCCTGCCACTATGCCCCAAAGCTATCACCACCAACACATCCTGGCCCCAATGCCCTCCTCAAAGTCCTCAGGAAACGGCAGCAACGGGCCGACCGGCACGGGCACCACAGGCACCACTGCCAGCACAACCAGCAACACCAACGGCGCCAGCGGCATAAACAGCAAGTCCTTCTCGACATCAACCTTCACCCAGGAGATCTCCCGCGCCATGCAGGCCTCTTCCTCGCAGCAGCCCAAGTACGCCGCGTATCCGCGCGTCATGGAGGATAGGTTCGAGCATCCACCTCCGCCACCGCCCTCGCCGGTGGGCTGGTCGAGGTCTTAAGGAGCTGAATTTCTCTGAAGTATCTTTTTGTGTGAATGCGTCACAGAGCATGGGACGTCGCTGATGCCATCGCTCGTGGCTCTGTTCCTTGTTTGCTTTTTCCTTTCTTCCTTCTGACCCTTCGCTTTCGATATTCCCCCCGTTCTTATTAATCTCTTAATTCTTGCCTTTTTCATTTCCTGTCTTTAGTCGCTTTGGTTCTTTGTTTGAACCGCCTCTTTTTTTTTTTTTTTTTTTTTTTGCCGGCCATATCAAATTGGGGTTCATATGCAATTTCCTCCCTTTTTTTTTTTTTTTTGGTTTTCCTTGCAGGGGACATCATATGCACATATAGATTGGTAAATATATAGATAGGACCGGGCCTTCGCTTTCTTTTCTGTTCTTTTCTTTTGTTTATTTTCTCTGGGCGTCCGTCCCTGGGCGTATTTTGCTTTTAGGATTGACATTCATTGACATTCACTTTTATTTATTGTACCCTCCCTCCCTCGCTTTCCCCTCGCTTTCCCCTTTCTTTACTTTCCTTTTTACCTCTGTCTCCTATTTCCATTCTTTCGATCCAATTTTGTGCAGTTCGTCCGCAGCGAAATGGGCATGGTCCCGGCGGAGGAAATGTTTCAACGTTGGCCTCAACTCACCACTCTGATATAAGTTACACATATCCGAACCAAAGCCCATGTCCTATAGTTAGCTTCATACATTATACCACCGTTTAATCCAAAACCCCCTTCTACTGAATAGGACGCGAAAATGTCCCCGCCAACATGGGTCACCCCCTATTTAGGCTATAGGCTATGTCGTTTTGAGTATGTGGTGATTTGAGATTCCCCATGATTTCCGCTGCGCTGAATAGATCCTTGAGCATCGGCACAAAGGATTCGGCATTTGGAATTTCCCTTGTCGGGTATATATATATATATATATATATACACATGGGCCCGCGGGATACCATGCATGTGTTTGTAGTTCCGTTGACATAGGTGGAATGTACTGTACCTGTTCTCTACGGATGCACGGATGCATGTTCAGTACATCACTGGGAAATTTTCACCCTCGCACGGATCGCATGGCCCCGGGCCCTTGCAAATGATTCCGGGTATTCTGACGTTCCAGCAAAAATCCCGTCGCACGAAGGCCCAGTCACAGAGTTTAAGCCACTTTTCCCAATAGCCACCCTTCCGGCAAATTGACGAAAAGAAAATCCCCCATATCATAAATATGAACTGTACGTAACAAATTCACTTTTCCCCCCACAACCTCCCCCCCCCCCCCCCCAAAAAAAAAAAATCCCGCAGGCTCCCGTAAACTCATCACTGGATGTAAGGGGCCGCTCACCCGCATTGACCCCTACCACCGGCTTTTGAAGGTACAGCGTCCTCTAGTTGTCGCAGCGCATCTACCTCCACTGCCGCCGCCTCACTCCCATCACCTCCATGAAGCCCTGCCATTGCGTAGACGTAGCTGACTCCTGCATCTACTCCTGCTCCTGCGTCTGCCCTGCTCCGGCTGGCTCCTCCGCACGCGCATAAATATCCTCCAGCTCTCTCAACGCATTCACATCACCCTGCAGCACACGCCGGTTAAGCATTTCCAGCTCCGCCATCTGCTCCCCCGTGCGCGCCCAACCACGCAACCTGGCTTCGAAGTTCTGGTTGCGCTTTTGGGAGAAGGTGGTGCGCACGATGTCTGACTCGCCCTTGGCGCGTTTGGCATTCATGAGGCGCTCGAGGAAAAGGGCTTGGTTTGTGGATGGGACACGGGGGAGTGCTGCTGCTGCCGCTGCTGCTGCCGCTGCTGCCGTTGGGGTAGTTGACACTTCGTCATTGTCAGGTATTGGCGCAGATGTGGGGATAGACTTATTATTATTATTATTACTACCGGCCTTCGGTATCTCAGAGGAGCCGGTAATCAAGTTCACCTTGTGACCTAGGATCTTAACACGATTGGCGGAAATAAGATCGTAGTCTCGATGCTGTCGGAGGCGGGGAAGTGTGGAGCGTTCTTCAGGCATTGAGAAGGTCATCTCTGTTCCGACCAGGTCAACCCATGAGCAAGAAAAGACCTGGTTTCGGTAGGAGATGATGGGATTCTCGGAATGCAAATCCATGATTTGGACCTGATCTTGGTCTTGGTCTTGGTCTTGGGTGTCCGGATCAGTGTCTGCGTTGGTATTGTCCTGTTGCTGATCGTCACCGGCATTTAGAGATGGGACATGCGGGGAGTCTAATGATGTGGTGGGAGCAGTGGGTGTAGATGCAACGCGCTTGCGTGGAACTCGAATGGGACCATTACATGTTGTCAGGTCGAGGTTCAGGTAGAATGTCTAGATATCGCAAAGAGCATTAGCAGTAGTCCGTTTCCAAATAGTCGGAGGGAAGCATAGCCAGCTCAGACGCTTCTTCCAGACAGGGATGTTATAGTTAAGGTCCGCACGCACCTCTTGCGAGTTATCATCATATTCATATTCATATCCAGAGTCAGAATCATCTGATGCGACCATCGTAGTAGATGTATGGCGGGGAGAGGGTATAGACCCGGGAGCGCGATTCATTGCGCCGGAGGCAGGGCAATGGCTGGATAAGACAGATAAAGATGCCAGTATCAAAGCTTAAATCATTTAGACAGTAATGTATCTGGTAATTGATGCTCTGCCACTACTTGCTCTTGGTGTTAGGTCTGGGACGGCTTCATATGAAGCTCATTCACGAGGAATGGAGAACTTGAGATCTCAGGAAGGTACTCCGCAGCGGGAATTTTGAGCTCAGGGGCCAGTCATCCATTCATCCATAATCGCAATACCCAGTTGCGGGAAGCTATCCTAAAACATGGCTTGGAAAATTGGCCCCTGAAAGATGGATTCAAGGGAGCAAAGATACGTAGACGTGATAGCAACGCTGTTGATGTTGTCATTGTTCGAAGGGTCATCAATCGATGACATAAGCGGGTAGCGATGAGGTCATCGGCTGGACAGGGACAAGGGGAGAAGCTAAAAAAAAAAAAAAAAATGAATAAATGAAATGATGAAATATCAAAATGGAGGAAGAATATGAGGATAAGATATATATATCTTTGAAAGTTGAATAAGTAGACGTCATCTGCTCTGCACGATACTGTATGTCGCCACAGAGATCTAAACATAATGCTAGTATTGCTCACGCGCCTGTTGAGGAATCCAGGCGCCTCTCACTGACTGATCAATATTTACCTCCAAAACACACTGATGGCAATACGCGATAGGATGAAACTGCCTTCTGCGTTAAGATAACGAATAGAATACTCCGCCGGCTCGTTTTGGAGAACCACGTTGGGATCCAGATCGACAACTGCCAACTGCAGCTACAAAGGCTGAAACTAACGCGCATCATCCATTTTCCAATTTTCAACTTCTGATATCTCCCACATATACCGAGCAGCGCTCCAAGCAAATATCCACAATGTGATCAATCAATCGCCCTTCATTTCTCACGCCCAGCTCGCCGCTCTGATGCTGGTCATCCGTTGCTAGTGGGTGACGAGACTCGGACCATCGATAACTCATCTGACTCTAGCAGTTCTTTAAGGTTATCAGGAAGGTTCCCGTCGTGCCTGAGTGCGTCCATACTAGCCGTGACGCTTTGCTGCAGAGATAACTCCAAGCTCTCTCCAAACTAAGAATAAATAGAGTTTTGCCTTTTCTCTCTTCTTTTTTTGGTACAGCTGGAACCTACCTGTATGAGGGGCAATCACAAGCTGCTGCAATCCCAACATCAGCGCTCTCTCCACCAAGTCTTCACACGATACTGGGTTAAGAGTAAGTGTTTCTTTTATAATAAGAATACTACAAGTCTCCCCCTTACTTGCTTGCTCATTTTATACCCTTCGCTCTGCAAATTTGCAATTTATGGTTTTAAACGTTGGTCTTCCCTCCCTCTCCGTTCACCAAGTGGCCGTGACACTTTTTGATGAACTTGTGACTTGGCAGGGGGGTTAAAACTTTTGTTGATGTTTCCCATTTTCTTCTGTTGATATATTTTTGTGTGCAATACGATCTTTTTATAGATCCCAAAGTGAGGGCTGTGGTGGACCTGATGATATCCATGCGCCACGTCCAGAACCAAGGTTCCAGGGAACCTGTCCTTTTTCATACTCTGCCGCCTCTCCACGAAGCAGCTTTCTCCCGCACTCTGTCTCTATTCCCCTTGCCCTTCCGAAATCAAGCCCGAACGTGACATACGCTTACGCTGTAAACAGTGGCGATGCGGCATATGCTTGGTAATGGCGGGCAGCTACCGCTCCTTCCCCCGGCCCTGCCTACCCAGCCAGTACATCCACATCCCGTAATTGTGCATCATCCCGTTCTCACTCCAACACCCCTTGTTTCACATATCAACGCACCAGATGAACTACGAGTTCCATCTCCAGACGACGACGAAGAAAAAGGCGGAAACCAGACAATTGTTGTCCCAAATCCTCCTGAGCCTGAAATCCCCAAACCGGGAGAGAATAATAAACATCCGGCAGACGTACCGCGCGGCGGTCTCCCGCCTTCCGAATCTGCGTTGATCCCTCAACTTTCTACCAACCCCTGGACGCAATCGGATCCTTCTATCTACCAGCAAATGAGGACAAAATCTCGGGCAGCGGTCACCATTCTCTCAGCTTTAATCGCTTATGTCTCTATAAACAGCCTGGCTAGGGCTCTTAACCCTTCTGCTTTCATCTGGTATGAAGAGGATAGGGAAGAAAGTGACTGGGTTTCGACTTCACATTCCTGGTGGGATCGTAAAGCATGCCGATGGCTTAGCCTCTGTGGAGCTACTCACTTTCGACTAAGGGGTCGTTTTGGACCTCGCAATCCTATACAGGATGGTGATGACGGAGAGCAGGAGGAGTGGGAGTCCTATTGGAAGAGCGGAAATAAAACCCGCCCTGAAGATTGGACCAACGATGAACGCCGTTTGCGCACGATCCCCGATTATGTCCTGGAATATGCACCCCTAGTCCACCTTTTCTCTGAAGAGCAGTTTTGGCCCAGTGATATTGCGAAGCATCTTTACCACATCACACCAGAATTGAATTACACTCCTATTCAGGCTCAAGCAGAACATCCCACCCTCGCTAACCTCAGTGAGTTTAACAAGTATCAGGGTGGAGAATATGTATTCTTGACCAGTAAGGACAATGTGGAGGATCGACCATCTTGGCTGGGGTCGGAGGGCAACATCCCAAAGCCTGATGATACAGAGGACGAATTGGAGTGGCAGAGCGGAATTTATGACGCGCAAGAAGATGTACCGCTCGAGGAAATGGAGGACTGGTATGATGCAAGGAATGGCAGTCCTCAAATGGAAGGAGGTGGCGAAACGCACCACGGTTCGCTTTCGCAGGCTCCTCTGGCGGAGGGCGTTGACAGATACGATTTTATGGATGATGGAGCAACCCCGCGGCCGGATAAAGGAGGTATACGTGACGATGTGAATGACAAGCCTGGCCGTAGCAAGGCACCAGCTGTTTTGATCGTCGTGGATAAAGGCCATGGCATTGTGGATGCGTTTTGGTTCTACTTTTACAGCTTTAATCTCGGCAATAAGGTTCTTAACATCCGTTTCGGGAATCACGTTGGCGATTGGGAACATTCACTTGTTCGGTTCCACAACGGTACTCCAAAAGCTATCTATTTTAGCGAGCATTCGTTCGGGGAGGCTTTTAGCTATGATGCTGTAGAGAAAATGGGGAAAAGGGTAAGCTCCTCTTCCAATCTGATATAATTATGTCATTTTGAGCTATTCCGACTGACTCACAGTCCTAGCCTGTTATATATTCAGCCTCTGGGACACATGCCATGTACGCTACACCAGGCACCCACGCCTACATTCTCCCCTGGGGATTGCTGCATGACCGAACTGACCGCGGCCCACTTTGGGATCCCGCCCGCAATTACCACGGTTACACATACGATCATAATAACGACGTCTTACGTGCCTCAACCGCCAACCCCCAGTCGCCAACCGCATGGTTCTACTTTGCCGGCCACTGGGGCGATAAGTTCTATCCCCTGGGTGATCGGAGACAGTATAGGTTCGTCGGGCAATACCACTATGTGAATGGCCCATATGGCCCGAGATTTAAGGAACTCGGCCGTGATAAGATATGCGGAGGTGCTACGACTGATCCATGTGTGATTAAGAATTGGATTGGAGGTGGTGTGAGATCGAAAAGGTGGGTAGATGTTGGGGAAGGGGAGGAGCTTAGCGACGAGGATATAGAGAAGGTTTTAGAGAGGAATGGCGCGACGCCGTTGTGAAATGGAGTTTATTTCTTTCTTTCCTCTTTTTGTTTTTCATTGAGATTAAACTGGATAGACAGGAGGGTTGTCTGGGTGCGGCGTTTGTGGGGGAACATGGGACTCTTTAATGGGGAGTTTTTAATGATTGCTATATTCTGAGCTATGTTTGCTGTGGGTTTTTTGTCTCTGTTTTTTGCAATTTCCCCTGGAGGAAGAGGATGAATGAGGAGGCGTCTCTGGGGACATATGCTTTTTTCTCTTCTTTTCTCTGATTTTCTTCTCTTCTTCTTTTACGAGTTCTATCTTATTATCTTATTATACCCCTGATTATTTCATTTTTATCCCGGGCGTTTTTTCCAGTATTGGTTAACGTGCCACCAGCTTGTATACATATAACATATAGATATACATGATCAGGGCGTTAGACGGTGGGATAGAATAAGATAGAATGGTAAATTGGAATCGGTAACATGGTTGTTGTTATTTTAGTTCTAGTTTATTCTCTCGGCGTTGTCCCTTGGTTTCTCCTGTCAATGCTCCTATCCGTTCCTTTCTGTTTCAATAGGAGAAAAACTTCTGGTAAGAAAACTGTATATATATACTTGTGTGTGTGTGTGTGCCCAAAGGCAGAAAGGACCAAGAGAAATTTGGAAAATTGAATCGTCATAATATAATCTTGACAGTAAGCTATTGTGGTTTTCGGATATATATATATGGTATGTCCAGTACATGTAAAAGATATATGAAATTGGAAAAAAAGGGAAAAAAAAGTTCGTTCAAAAAAAAAAAAAAAAAAAAAAAAAAAAAAAACGTACATGTTTGTATGTACATCTACCCATACATAGAAATATGTACAGTACACTAGGAAAACAAAGATTGAAGGAAAGGGAGAGGCAGGAAGGGCGAAAAGAAAGCCATGAGAAGATGAAGTCATAATCACTTATTCGCATTTCTCCCTCGAACTCACCTGTTACCTCCCCCGGCACCTCCATTAACCTCTGTGGGTAACAATAGAAGCAAATGGAAGTGGTTTCAATCGGCTTCAAAGATCAAGAGAGAAAAAACAAGCTAGTAGAAGATAAAAAGAAACCGGAGATGTACTATTTATTCAAAAAAGAAATTAAGAAAAAGAAAAAAAAGAGGCGGCTGTTGTTCAACAAGGAAGAAAACGCATGAAAAAAAAAAAAAAAAAAAAAAAAAAAAAAACTATGTTAAGCTAGGTGGTGGAGTTGGTTCCTAGATACTTTAGAATTGAATGGTTCAAGAAAGGAAAAATGAAAAGAGAGCGGCAAACAAATTCGATGTAAAGAGAGAAAAAAATGGTTGGAATTGAACGTGTGAAAAATCACAGAAACTCCCAGTCTCCTCCACCTGATTGATTACTGTCATAATCCACCCATACAAATCAATGAAAAAAAGGAAACCGAACTTGAATTCGGGAGAACCCCAGGTCTGTCCTGCGCCCGCCCGAGCTTTGGATAAGATAAGATAAATAACACGCCAGAGAAATACCTACAAGAAAGAAAAAGCAAAAAAGAGGAGAGAAGAATAGAATTATCGAGGGCAAAGGGGAAAACAAATGGATAAAAGCATTGCGCAAGCTTGATATGGAGATGAAAGGAAAAGACATAAGAGAGACATTAGAAAGTAAAAAGGGAAGGAAGAGAAGAGCAAGAGATAAGGGATATAAATAATAAAAAGCCAGCCGTAACCTCGCCTCACCAAACCTGGTACGATAAGAGAAACAATCCGAGAATAACAGAGAAAAAGCGAAACAAAAGGTGATATAGACAAGAGATAAAATGAGGAATAGTGAAAATAATAAACATGGAAAACTATGGGAATGTGAGGGTGAGAGTCGGTATGAATGGAATGGTGAAAGTAAAAGGACTAAAGTAACGCCATGAGATAAAAAAAAAGTTATGGAAACGGCGGGAGGGAAAGATACAGTGGCCGGACTGTTTTTGGCCCCCGATTTCGGATTGCCTGAGTGCAAACACAGTGGGTTGGGCAAGGAGAATGAAAAAGTAATCTGAAGGAATGACTCCTGTGGTACCTATAAGGTCCCACTCCAGTCAGGGTGTAAATCGGAGAATATAATATCGGGATCCCAATCCTGACATATGGTTGTGTCTGAGCTGGGTAAATGCATTCCAAGAGAAACGAAAGGCTGGGTGACAAGAGAAATGTACTCCGCTAGGTAACGAAAACACGCTGTGAGAAGCGAAAAGTTATGGGGGAACCGGAGGGGCACGACTGTAGTTGGTTCAAGCCGAACATTGAGAGAATAAAGGAAAAAGAGATTTAATTCATCAAATCAGTTACGTTCAGTCACGTCCTTGAAGGCCTCTTCCTCAACCCAAAGTCCTGCTCCTGCATCTCCCTGATCAACCGCAAAGTGTCGGGGTCAGCGTCCGGATCTGAGAAGCTGCCACGGTCACGACCCGTCAGTTTGCTGCGGCGATGCGGAGAGGTCGGCGAGGTGTGTCTGTTGTTGTTGTTGCTGTTGGGTTGATTAGGGGGATATCTTCCTTCAAGGCGTTTCTTGTCAACAACGGGATTGTGCTGCTTGGTTTCCATTTCGTGTTTTAAAGAAGAGGTTGAGGAAGGAAACGGGTGCACGTTTGTGCGGTGATACGAAGAGGATGGGCGGGGGGAGGGAGAGGAAAGAGAAGATGATGATGGCTTTTTTAGAATGGAAGTAGAGGCAGATGGAGATGGGATAGCTACTGACAAGTCTGAAGGTGCTGTTACGGTCGCGGGTGGAGCGCGTGTTGCCGTCGTCATCTTGCGACTGCCCACTTCTGCTGCGGGAACAGTGGCTTCAGGAGCATGGCGCTGGTGACGGGAAGCGTTTCGGCATAAAGTGGTGAGAGCATCATTGACGACAGACCGTCCACCATAGTGTTCTTGCTGTTGTTGCTCGTTCTTCACGGCAGGCTTCGCTTCGCCATCGGTCTGATTAGGGTCGACTTCCATATCGTCTGCGAGTGAGGTAGGGGGAGAGACAAGGCTGCTTGCTGGGCCCGTGGTTGCTGATAGGGACGCAGTAACTTCTGATGATGTCACGAGATCAGCTTTCAATGTGGGTGGTGAGGCATATGATGTTTGATTCGTGGTAAGTTCGCTGTGTGTCGGAATTCCAGCATTCTCACTGGAGACCAGCTTCTCATTTTGCCCATTCATACGACCCTGCAATTGAACAGTCTCAAAGTTCAACTTGGTCTGAGGAAGTTCCTCTTCAGAATACTCAGATTCTGGCCTTTGACGCTTGCTTAACGTGGGGGATATATTGCCATCGCTGGATCGAGGACGTTTAGTGGAACTTGTCGCTCGGGGCTTTGACCGCTCTTGCGCTTTGACAGGATCTATCCGGCCATTTTCATCATGGATGCAACGACGCTGAGCGCAAAAATGGTTAGAACATGTTAATACCTTTGGATGGAGAAGATATAGAATAGAGAAAAACTAACCTTGCTCTTCCGACACTCGTCACAAGCCTTGCTACGGCCCTTCTTTCCAGGATTGGAGGAATTCGGAATAAACCCTTTCATCTTGCCTGAGTTGGCTTGGTGGGTCATAAAGAGTGCTGAAGAATCATCTACGGAGCTAGGCAACATCGCATCCCGCTTCCCAGAACGGTGTTCTTCAATCCCATCCATATATGTAGCCGAGGCAAGGTTCAAGGACCCAGCAGTTGCCATATCCCTGCCATTGAGGTGTTGTTGCTTGACTGCCATGGATGTTACAGCATCTAGGCCTTGCTCATCTTTATGTCGACAACGGATCCGTCGTTTTCGACAAGCATCACACGCAACGCGTTTTGGACCCAGGCCAGTCGACTTGGACATCAAACGCGGCTTAGTTGCATGAGTAATTTCGGATTTCATATCAACAAGAGAGGCCTTTCGTTTCGGCGGGGCTGGTGTTCCGCTTGTGGAGGGTGCATTCGTAGAAGCAAGACTGGTACTGGAAGTACGACTCGTATTAAATTCGGATAACTGATAGGAGGGACGGCGACCGGTGCTCAATTCAAGGTTGTTATTGAGCTGCGGGCTTTCAGCAACGATATTCCGCTGGGAGCGTCGACTAGGTCTACCAGCTGGTTTCCTACCAGACATGTCAACCTTGGTATCAAGAGATATGGCACCCGGGCGTGTCCAGCTTGCGGCATGCTCATTGCCGCGTTTCCAAGCTACCCACACCCCGAATTTTATGACAATGTTAACGGGATCTGTTGGTCCTTTAGGAATGGATTTTTTCACAGCGTTCCTAGTTTCTGTCGTGACCCCATCAACTTGGTATCCACCGGCAATCAAGGCAGTCCTCAGGAGATATTTTGCTAGTTCAGGCAGGCCATCCAGTTCTGCTTGGGAGTAGAAGCGTGCATTGTAATACGGTGACCCAGGTTCGGCACCATTGCCATTTTCTCCGAATTCATAGTAAATCGGATATTCGCGGTAGAAGCGGTAGTTTTCGTCACGCGAGAATGACTCCAAAACTGTCTGTGGAATGGGATCGTCCTCCAAGTACTTGATGGCAGCATACCACATGATTTTCTGAAAATATGGGTAACGGAATTTCTTGGGAACCTTTGTGTCCTTCTCGATTTTCGCAACTTTAATTTGCATTCCATAGTTCATCATTGTGAGGAAGTTTCCGCCAATGACAAGACTATCTTCCGGTGTCCAGACGGCATGGATCCAACCAGATGGAATAAGCATGGTGTCACCGGCTGAAAGGTCAACTCGATAGCATTCCTTGGTCTGATTTCCGAGAAAAGTAGTGTCCTGCGCAGCCGAGTTACACCATTCCTCATATTTCTTCAGGTGTTTGTCCTTGGGCGGAATGAAAAAGAAAGTTTTCCTTCCCTTCAAAATATGGTAGTAGACAGAAGAGCCACCAAAATCAATGTGAAAGTCGGTATAGCAATCTGCAACAGACATTAAGACGTAGAATTGGACTTTTGGAAATTCGCCTATGGCTTGCAATTCGGCAGGCCACACGTGGTCTTGGAGATCAAGGTCGCGGACAATTTTGGGTCGTCGAATGAGCCTTCCTAGAGGACTGTTGGAAACCTCGAGGCTGATTACGTTGCGAACAGTTTTTGACGCAGAATCGTCGTAGTAGTAATCTGCCCAGCGTTGCATGTTCCATCTCTTGTCTTCCCCCTGCTGCGATTTGACATCTATCACCTCGACTCGCTCTTCAGGTCCATAAAGCTCAGCTACATGTCGAACAGTAAGACCTTGCGGGATGACCATGTCCAACAAATCCTGACCGCAATCGAGAACTTCGTTGAAGTCAACATCATCATCGGGCATGTTGTCAGCGAGTTCATCAAATTCCTCCTGTGTGGAGGCTTCGGGTGCATAATAATCGGCTGAGCCAGGGACTGAGGAGCGCGTATTGAGAGATGCGGGAATGATTACGGGTTCAGTCATTCCTATACCTCGCTCAAAGTATTCAGCAGTGACAAACTCCGGACGTATCCGAGCAAAGTGGTCTGGCAAAAAAGTGATCTTCCCTTCTTTGATTGGCTGGATGTAATGATGCTCTGGTGTTTCGGTGGATGACATGACGAACCCCTGATTTAGGCTCGCATAGTCAATAGCTGTTCGTGCGCGGGAGGACTTGCGTACGAAAGTAGTCGGTCCATGTCTAGGTCGACACCCACGGCAGATAAATTTGTCAACTATCCTGGTGTCGCGGTCACTTTTGAATCCCGCACACACGATATGAAACCACCTCATACATCCATCACAATTTATCCAAGTCACGGCCTCCTCGTCTTCACTGTCAGACGCGATTCGATCGAGGTTACAAGCTGCGCAGGTTGCTTGGTTAGAACTGTCGTTATCGGAGTCTTCCTCTTTCAAATCGGACGTAGGCACACTTTTTGGACGTTGGAGTTGTGCCGATGGTGTTTCCTGGCCATTAGGTCCATTTGCTTGTGCATTGTTATGATGTTGATCTGGAATGTGGTGTGGATCGATCAAGTCATCCTCAAGGGCGGGACCCATCAATGGGGGTAGAGACGGTCCAGAGAAGCCATTCATTAGTGGTCTTCCCGTGAATGCGGAACCGTCAGACCTCGATCGAATGCGTGATGGGGTACCATTATTGTTGTTCCTGAAGAAAGCAGAAGATGGTTTGTTCTCCGCAGTAATATCCCATCTTTTCGCCCACAGGTTAGCAGTATCTGTGGCCCATTTAACGCCGAGCTGCTGGCCGTTCGCTAGCTCATGCGCAGCCAGCTGCTGTGGTCCTGAGCCGTCTTGGAGGGGTGGAAAATTGCTGGGTCTCGCAAAATTAAGCAACAACTCTGCATCGGTTTTCATGCTATCAAAGGTGGAAACATGGCTCGTAGCAGGCCTGGAAGCTCCCATTAGCCAGGTAGGTGATGGAGCCTTTTCCGATCGAGCGCGTTTGGATGGCCGTTCAGACTGATCTGGAGCAGGTGCGTGATGGGTTGTTGGTGATATGGCAGTAGGATGCTCATCGTAGGCAAGAGGCGCAAAGGTTGGACTTGTCGCGAGTGCAATGGTGGCCAGAGTATCGATGTTTGAGCCGGTTCTTTGGTGGGCGACTTTGCTAACGGGGTTTGTATTTGCGTCGTTGCTGGATGAACCGCCAGAAGAGTAGTGGTGACTAGAATGATCAAGACTCGTCCGTCCATCCTGGGAGGCATTACTCCACCCATTTTTCAATGAGGACTCTTTCTCTCTAAATGTGTCATATCGGGGTTGCTGAGGGGCATCGTTGGGATGGACGTCGCGGGTGGAGAAGGATGAGATATGGACGGGAGCGCGAGGTGAGATCGACTCGATGGCATGTCGTGGCGGGGAGGGAGTGCGATAGCGTGATGGCCGGACGCTGGATGGATTCCGAAAGGACAACGTATTCGCCATGACGGCTTTTTGGAGGTGTTAGGCTCGCCGAGAGGGGTCGAATTGTCGAATCAAATGTATTGCGGTCGGTTTCGCGTTGTTGATAGCAAAGGCGGGGAAGGCAGTGTTGACCACACAGGCCTAACAACTGACGATAGGGAATGCGCGAGGACGCATTCCCGATCGATCAGGGAGTATTACGGATTCGGGATTATCGGTGGGAGTGAAGCTATTCCGATGGATAGGGTGAGGGGGATGGGAGGCGGAGATGAGAGTAGAGGTGAGGAAAGCGGCTGGTTTGGGGGAACGGCTCCGAAGGCGGTTGTCCGCAATGGAGAAAGGAGGCTAAGCGAAACGGGTGATGGATTGACCTGGGCGGCGCTTGGGGACAATTCCAAATCAGAGCTCTTAGCCACCGTGGACGGCAGCCATAGAGTGACAGCTGTGATGATATTAAGGGCTTTTGAGTGTTGACGATCAGAACAAGATATGCAGATTGCAAATTGAAGTTGCGGTGGGAGCGACGAGGAGAAGTTGACGCAAGCGTTGTGACTGGTATGGGCAATACACGACGGTGGGTTAATTACACCACTAGGGCGACCTGCCCACACCCAGCTCCGGAATACAATACGGTATTGCTCGTACACTTCCACCACATCCCGCTGCGGCCCGTCCTGCACGAGCAATATAAACATCGTCGGATTCTCCCTTGATCAATTTGGGAGCAGATTCTTTATACTAATTGTTTAATATAATTTCTCTCTCTGCCATCTTGCCCCGAAAATGGCTTCTCCATTGTGTTCTGAGAGAACACACCCCATCCCAAGTGCTGCATCGCATGGGCTTCCAAATTCTGTTCTGCCTCCAAGGGTCATACAGCAATATATCGGGGCTATATATCGATAGCAAACTACCATCTCCACATCTCCAAGGAAAACATGCCCGCTACCACCATGGAAATGCCTCTCTGCCTTTCCAGGTGTTCTGCGTGGAACCCGCGTTTCAGATTCGCGTCTTCATTGTCCTTCCGCAAGATGCCGTTTCGCACCATTGACCACGGGCCTTTTGTCGAGTACAACTCCCTCGTTTATGATTTTGATACCGGCGGGTTTAGCCAGCTCAGAACCCGTATATCTAGACATAAAGACATTCTTGGTAACAGTGCTCCTGAGCATTGTGCGGTATCGCTTTCATTCACAATTCGCGTGTCGAGCGTCCACGATGCTTCGATGCTCTTAGGCCTGAGGCAGGTAACTATTCTCAACACGTCACCACGCAGCCAATTAACCTTGGAGCTTCTGTTGGGCGAACCTTTGTTCATATATTCTCAGCGAAGAGTTTCGATGTTCAAGCGTTGTTTCCAGGGTCTCTGAGTTAGGACTAGCCCGGCCAAGTGGATGACATAATCCACGCTGGTCCCAAAGAGGCAATGGCCCATTCTCAATCCACTATCTTGTCATTGAGGGTTTGAATCATATCAATGTAAAAATAAATATTGATGAAAATCTTCAATAATTAAAATAAAGTATATTTTTTAATTTAAATATTAAAAAGAGTTTTTTTGAGTAAATTATAATAATTCGTCATTTTAGCAGCGGTGTGATTAGCCGAGTAAGCAGTGTAATTATCAATCCCTCTTGTCACGATCTCCCGCCGCCGGCCGTGCCTAGTTTTCCTCCCGTCCATCCCCAGCTACCTATATCCGCAGTGCATCACCCGTCTGCCCACTGTCCCTTACGCCAACTACCAAACACACTACAGCGCGTCTCTGGCCCCCCAGGCAAATCTCCGTCTTTGTACACGAACCTCGCTTCAGAGATATGAGCCGCAGCAGCAAGCTTGCCCCGGAAGCCAACAGGTACTAGAAGCTATCTATCTATTCGTCTACCACCCGATACCTCCCTTTGGTGCGACGAGTATATACCGTTGGGAATATATGTATATGTATAGCGCTAACATCGCGTGGCAATCTAGGATCCTTTTCGTGAAGAACCTCAGGTGAGTCCAATACCACGTCCGTCGTCACCACGGAAGAAAGGAATTCCCCACGCGACAACCCAGAGATACATATATCTTCCCCACGAATCCCCCTTCCCGCGGGTCCTACTCCATATGCGATGACAATTAAAAAAGGAAAACAAGAAGAAGAAAATAAACTCTAATAATTTCGCCTTGAAATATACAGCTACAACGTTACCGCAGAGGAGCTGTTTGATCTTTTCGGGAAATTTGGCCCTATTCGGTAAGGCAACAACCATTTCACTCTCTCCGGGTCTCCTTAGGGCCAACAGACCACTTTTAGCACAGGGGACATACCTACTGACTCGTGATGTCGGCGGGGAACTATATATAGTCAAATACGCCAGGGCATTGCGACAAACTCGAAGGGCACTGCGTTCGTCGTGTACGAGGATGTTGCCGATGCAAAGCAGGCCTGTGATAAATTGAATGGTTTCAACTTCCAGAATAGATACCTTGTCGGTTAGTTATAAACAGACACCTACATAACCTACATACTCTTCCACCCTCCCCTGTTCGAGATGGGAATTTGTCATCGGGCAATCAACCAGAGCAGCAAGCTTGATATTTTGCTACGCTGGATATAGCAGACTCACTGACCCCCTCTCTTTTTCAAACTACAATTTAGTTTTATACCACCAGCCTGAGAAGATGGCCAGATCGAGAGAAGATCTGGCCGCCCGACAAGAAAACCTGGAGCGACTAAAACAACAACACGGCATCGACTGATATTTGCGGCTGACTCTCTCTTGCTTCTCGATTTTTATGTTTACATTTACCTGCCTCGCTTTCTTGTTGATTATTTCATTTGCCCCCCCGCGTTTTATCGTTATCCTTTTTGTGTGCCTCTCCTTTCCTCTTTCCTCTCTTTCCTCACCTGTTCCCCATTTATCGTCTGATTTCGAATATCGTCCCGTTCGCTGCATCCCTCGTTTTTCCAGCGGTTAACAAATCGTTCTAAAATTGCCTATTTCAGGTACATTTACCCCTCCTCCTACTTTCTAGGAGTTTCTATCTATTTATTTACTTTGCCGCGAATTTTCGTGGGACTCGGAGGGTGCACGTCAACTCTATCCTTGGGAGAACGCGGGACAACATTTGGGCGTTTTTTATTTTTTATTTTTTATTTTTTTTGAAAAAAAATCTTTCTTTTGTCGTTTCTACACCCAACCCAAATTACATTTATGATATTGACGCGTCAGACTCATGTTTATCACGATTAGTACTGCTATTTATGTACCCTGATAAGTTTTATTTACAGGAAGGATCTGGCAAAATGTTCAATGAAATAATATGCAATAATATAACTTACTTTTATGCAAAATGAGCTTGGAGCAGGATACAAGGGGGAAGTATCACCTTCCATGCACTGCACTGACTGTCCTTTCGGCTAAGAATGCTGCCCAGCTGAGAGCTTCTACCCTGAAGCGTCAATGTGATCTTGGCCGCCATATCATGGATTGAATTTCGAATCACTTTCGTTTTTGAGTAAAATCATAAGTTCTGCTCAACAACTTCTTAATTCCCTTCTTCAACTACTCAGGCATCTACAGATCTGTGTTTTTGTAGTAAGATCGGAATGCTCACCGCGGCAAAGGCAGATCACCTGACACCGCCGAAGCCATCCGGTGACCTCAGCACTCTCAACCTCAAAAAACAATATGCACTGCAGACACAGATAGAACTGAGCAAAATCCGATGAGGCAGTGGGTTTATGCTCATCAGCAAAGCTCCCACTGCATGCACGATCGTCAGAAGAAACCATTCATCCAAAATGGAATAAATTCAGTATCAATCAATCAACCACAACTAGCCCTGGCTCGGCAATCGGGTCTGGAATCGAATACCCTTTCAACTAGCTGAGCTCAGCAACCCCGTTTCACTCATTGACCTCAAGGTGGTCAAGGCGGAAAAAGAAGGAGAAGAAGAAAAGAAACAATCAAAAACATAAATCCAAAAAGAGAGGTAAAACAAGGGGGTAGAGGTGAGCAAAGAGAAGAGGAAGCTAAGCAAAAGCACAGCGAATCATCCGACCGTTCACACGCTACATGCATTCGATTCCTAGGCACCAGTCTCCGCCTAAATACTTTCTCCTCGCGAGGCAGGAAACATCACCCGTCTCCAGCTGGCGGATTTCCGTGTTTCTTTCATAATACCACCTAGTGCCAGCTGCTGGCCATGGCAGAGTCAACACAGACTTCACACCTCGTCACCGCCATCGCTCTTGCAGCATCCCAAACCCTCCTACGTCGTCAACATCCACTTCCACAATATTTTCTGCATCA